TATCATTCATTGCTCCAAAAATGAACATTAATTTCCCATCCAGATAATATTGACACTTCAATAATTTTAACACTGTAGCGTCAGCTACTTATAGACAGATATAAGTAATATACCGAGTAACGTAGTCAGAGAGGCAGTGATAATTTGTGTGTCGTCAGAAAAGCCATTGAAAAAGAGGTGCAGGGAAAATGTGACAAAACAGAGAAGAATCCAATTAGCGGCAGACACCAAATAGTGTAGAACAAGACGGTTGACACGGAATTGGTGATATTATTTGCAGGTTGTAAAATCAATATGAGTTTTGTGGTTTGCTCAGTACGCCTGAAGGTTATTTCGTCAGTCACCAGTCTTGTCTTTTTCATTGTTGTATTCCTTATCATCTTTATAATTCTGTACTCAAGATTGATCATGAACTGACCTTATCTATGTAGCTATTGAAAAGCCGGGAGTGCAGGAAATTTGCTCCGTACTAGTTTAAGACTCTTTGGCAATACGCACCGGAGACACCTCCGTGGAGCGAATTAAGGATTTTGAAGTCATGAGGCAAGACGCTTGACCATTCTGCCTCTGAGAAATAATTCAATGAATTGTGAATTCTAACTTCCGCGAAATCACTTACTTACTGTTTGGTAAAGAGTTCCAAACAGCTTGTCAGACAGATCAATGTGACTTAAACAATGGAATGCGATTTAGCTGGTTTAGGGTTGATCTTGTCAGGATTCGCTCGATCCGGATAGACGAATCTCTTCAGTACACCTAGACTCTGGCTGGGAACTCTGACGAACTGATAAAGCGTAGAAACGAATTCCTTATTTGCGAATTTCATTGATCGAGAGGAGGAATTCTTTAGAGACCGAGAAAATATTCCGATCACAATGTGTCATCTACCTACTCAAGAAAGCAAGAAAAATAGCGTGATACTATATACTACTTATTGAATGATGTGAGTAGTAAGAAGGCATTCACTGCAAACAGTTGGCAACGTATTTTACATTTGATCGACAAGACACAGAACATGACTCTTTAGTATGTAACTACCCGGCCGTAATATCTTGCAATTGAAGTCGTACTCTTATACCCTGGGCACAGAGACACACGGACCATTATATGAACATAAAATCGCTTGCTTTTCGACTGAATACATTCGATATGTCGAATTACTTTAGTATTTCTAGTTATCTCATCGTACTACTAACCATATCTGATTTCAGTAAAATAACTTAATAAAGCGTAAATTTCTGGTAAGTGTTTAGTGTACAAAATGCCTGTCAGCGTACTCGACTACCATTGATTCCCTCACTGGAAATGTCTCAAATCACTGGTGTCTAGAATCTCTGCACACCACACCACGCCACCCACAGATGTTATACAGACCAATGATTGCTAACGGGACACAACTATCTCAGCGCACGCTTCTATTGGTTCTGCACCATCTCTATCTAGTCAAATAGAACATTATGCAATTTTTATTGGATGTTGCCTATAATTAACATTCTAGGATAGTATCAGTTATTGAAAGATGATGAGCACATTGTGTTGCTGCCCCTCAGAATCACCTCAAAAAACGGTGACATCTCCTGTTGCGAGCAGTGAAAGGCATGATCAAAACAGTAAAATTTTACCACAAATCCTGAGTTTGTAGAGACTAGATTTTATGTGTATTCCACGACCTAATGCATTCAATCGTGATCCACTCATATGCATTTGCAGGATGACATCTATGATATAAGTGAGTTATAAATGGCGAAAACAGACGACAGTTTTCAGTGGCACTTGTATTCTTGAATAGTTGTGGTGGGAAACTGCATATCTTTTCTCTGCCAGAGGCGACTGTGTTTATGGCTAGCACATGTGATGATTTTCATTCATTCAATCAATCAATGATCAAAGACAGTACACAAGAGGAACAAATCGAATAAACAATTTAACAATTCAGGAAATTACAGTTTATCCTATTTTGAAAATACTTAATTATGTTACCATCTTTTATTTCGTCGCCTCCTCGTCAGCTGCTTACAGGGCAAAGACATTATTAAATATATCTACAAAACAATTTTAACATACTTGCACGGAGTTCATTTTAAACAAAAATCAATCGATCAAATTGCTCAAATTTGAGTTTCTTGAAAAGACATTGAAGAGCAATGGGCACCCTCAAAGGTTCATCAACAAGTATGGAAGATCTAAAGTCGCAAATGAAAAATAAATCACAGTAAGAAAAAAAACAATCTACTGTGAGCTTGATTATAAAGGCGAAAACATTGCAGCGATGATCAACAGAAGGCTGAGCACATCAATAGCGAGAGCCTATCCCGCAGCTAAGCTCGTTCCTGTCTATCGAACAACTTGCTCTCTGGTACAATCAAAAATCGATAGATATCCTTCTCATGTTAACTCCAACTGCATATACAAATTAACATGTATCTGTGTAATCAGTTACATTGGAAGAACAGAAAGAAGAGCATATCTACGATTTTCTGAACATGTACCAAAAAGCTTACGTCTAAAGGGAACAAATGCTTTAAACAGTGCCATCGCCAGGCATCTCCTCGACACGGGTCATGAGATGGACGTCGAAAAGACGTTCAAAATTAACAATAGGCAAAAGAGCTCAATTCTCCTTAAGTTTGCTGAAGCCATTTCCATCAAGTGCCAGAAACCTGATTTATGCGTCCAGAAAGAAGCAGTTATCAGTCTTTCTTTGCCCTGTTAACTGGATATTTTTCATCTCTCTTTGATCCGAATGCGAAATGCTGAAAAGTTTCCATTGTATATGACTATTATTGTTCGGAATGGTGTTTAATATTATATGTATATATATATGTATTATTAGTGTATGCGCATATTGATCGACTGATTTTTGTTTAAAATGAACTCTGTGCAAGTATGTTAAAATTGTTTTGTAGATATATTTAATGATGTCTTTGCCCTGTAAGCAGCTGACGAGAAGGCGACGAAATAAAAGATGGTAACATTTTATTCTGCTAAATCTGTAGTTGTTGCTATGTTCAAATTCATTAAGGGGAATAAATGTATGAAACTTATTTATGTAGGAGAATTATGCTTGCCCGAATTTAAATGTACACACGGAGTTGATTTGTTTTAGAAGTGTTTTCACTAATTGAAAACAGAATGTTCATTCCATCTCCGTCACAAACTTTTCATCAAGACTTACTGATGACCAAATGAAGGAGTGAACCCAAAAATGACAAACGCTTTTTACTATTCTGGTATGTAATCAAAGTACCCGTGTACAGTGACAATCATCCAATTTGGCTAATGCTGTTTACTCGAACTAAATTTTCACTTAGTCCACCTGAATGCTAAGCATTTATGAATCCTGCATTAAAGCTGAAATGAAGTATTCGTGAAATCATGACTAATCTGAGAGTAATTCTTGTTAAAATGTTGGCATAAATCAAAGCTATTTGTTCAACAACTTCATTGCACTGATTGTAACATCATAATGCATTCAAGCGAACGCCTATTAAAAACTGCCAAGGTATGTCTCTCTCATTAAGTACCCAATATATATTTCGATTTATCTCAATCAAAAACAGATTTTACTGACGATTTATACTATGCGCTGTAGTGGGTAAATGTACACCAAAAGAGTTAAGAGCTTACTGTCACAAATTCAAACGCTTTACACACACACGCTTTACAGTCAAGTGGACGAGGTGGCGATGGGCTCCCCATTGGTCCCATTCTGGCTGATTTCTTTCTAAGTAAGCTAGAAAATGGACCTCTGAACAACCTTATCAGTAAGCTCTCATTTTATTACCGATATATGGATGATACCTTCATTCTTTGTGATAATGGTTCTGATAGGAGTACAATAATTACTGAATTCAATGAAGTACATTCACATGCGAAGAGGAATCCCAAGACAGAATTGCCTTCCTGGATGTCCTACTTACAAGAAAACCAGATGGTAGCATAAAAAGAAATTTGCATAGAAAAAGCACTTGGGCAGGACAATATACACACATTTTCACAGCTTCGTTCCTATCAAGTACAAAATAAATTTAGTGAAGACACTCAGCCACAGAGTTAGAGCTATATGCTCTGAAGAAGTAAGTGAAGATGAATTAAGCATTGTATATGATACTTTGATAGAAAATGGCTATCCCGACAAATTTATCAAGAAACACATGACAAAGAAAGCGGAAAAGGACTACTCACTATCTGTAAACAAGAAGCCACTTTATGTACGACTACAATTCAAGGGCGATATACCAAGTGAGATAATTACGAAGAAATTAAGAAAATCAGTTCAAAGAACTTTTAATGCTGGTGAACTACACGTATTATTCTCTACACGACCGATGGTACTAACTCGACTGAAAGATGAAGTACCTAGACTGGTCACTTCAAATTGTATCTACCAATTCAACTGCGCTTGTGGAGCGAGTTATATTGGCCATTGCTCTAGGAACTTGATTTTTCGTGCTCGAGAACATCTCCCACTATGGCTAAGTAAAGGTGTAGTTAAAACCATTAACAGTTCGATATTGGACCATCTGGTGCAAACCGGCCACAAAGCCAGCCAGCATTGAAGAATCCTTCTCTATAATCTACCGGGTGCCTAATAAATTGCCAAAATTATCGAAGCACCACATGCTCCAAACAGCAGAGGCTATTGCAATTCGCCTCAAACAACCAGTGCTCTGTGTTCAAAAGAAGCAAGTCCAGCCAGCCACTACAACTACTACCTTGGCCGGCCTTCAGTGGAGACTATAAATTCATGAATTTGTACTATTATCTTTCATAATTCTTCTGACATTCAGCTTATTTTATGTTGATGCTATTGAGCTGTAATCTATCAATATTATTGATTCGATGTTATTTAAACAGCATTAATGTTGTTCATAACACTAATTCATTCATTCACTATAATGTATATATAACTGTAGAGCCTGATGATGAAGTTATCGAAAAGAGTATCCATTCTTTTACAAATTCAAACATTTATTAAAGTGATTCTAACACGAGTACATTGCAGTAGAATATTAAAACAAACACCTTTTTTGAAGAAAAAGAAAAACAGGTATAAACTGATAAAAGATGGTTAAATGACAACTGACTGAATCCATCAATAAATCACACATTAAGCACAGTCAAAAGTAACTCATATTACTCGATAGAAAAGAGAGGAAATGTAAGTAGATGTTCCATGTCAAAGAAATGACTCATTGCATATCGTTGACTCCATCTTCATTAATATACCTAGTTGAGTGAAAAGAAATAGAAATTACCTTTAAATTATTCAATATTCAGTGGTGAGTTACTTTCTTCTTACTTCTTCATTCAAATGTGTACACTTCGTTTTGATGAAAGTAGAATGATTTAGAAATAATTAAGAAGATTTGTAGTTCAGATAGTTGATTTTAGCTTAGTTATTTTCTTTGAACTAGATGCTTCAATTACGAAGCTCTGAGTATCTTTCTAAAGAACATTTTCAACACAGTAAACAGTTTTATTCTTATTCCCTTGGGTTCAGGGTGGAACACACAGCTCCAAAACAGCACATTCTCGATTTATTCCGGTAATCTGCAGTCTTCTTTTTAGCTGGCCCCACGAATGCCCATAGGCTTGCATCTCCTTCTGAAGCAAGAGCCTGGTATGCGATGTCTTTGAGCGGTCTCCCCAGCGTGTGTCCAATCCACATCCATTTTCTTCGTGATATTTGTTCTGCAATAGCTTGTCAGTTAGTTGTTTCCTAGAATTTATGTTGCAAATCCCCTCTGGTTGTCTGCCCTTCAGTATGGAGAGAAGACATCTGTTGGTAAAAGCCTAAAACCTGTTCGAAATGCTCCTGAAAATCCTAATTCCCTTCTCCATGATGAGTACAGAGGATTTCGAAATTGATTCAGAGTGATGAAGTTCTGTGTTACCTTCCCGACCCTGACTGGTTTTGAAATCCTCATCTGTTCCACCTGTAGCTGAAACGATGCTTCCTGGATAGTGATTGGTGCTTGTTGTTGGTGGTCATCTTCACCACCTTCATCTTCTCTGTGTTCACTTGAAGTCCCGTCTTTGGTGCCCAACTCTTCTGCAACTTGTTTGTTTTCGAAACGTAAGTCGTCCGCTAAGTCCAGATTTTATAAACTGTCCTTATTGGCCCGTCATATTCCTGTCTTCTCGCTCCCCACAGTCTGGCGCATAATCCACTCCACCGCATTTAGGAATATCATCTGTGATAGAAGGTGGCAGCTTTGTCTTACTCGTGTCTTTACTTCAAAGGCTTCTCCACTGAGGTTTCCACTGTGGATCACTTGACATGTGGCATTGTCACTGTGGCTGATGAACGAAGTTGATAAAGATTCGGGGCATTCCATAGTGTCGGAGTAGCTTCCAAATTACTTCTCGGTCGACACTACCATCGAAGGCCTTTTCAAACTCTATGAAACTGAGGTAGAGGTTCGACTTCCATTCTATGCGACTCGTCTGGCTTTTCAGGTGTACTCTCATTGAATGATAGGATATGATAATTCTAGTTGTAAAGAACTGTAGACTTTTCTGCCTACATGGAGATTGAAACGTGCCAGTGATGCCTTCTATTGCAAAAATTTCTATATAGTTGTAAGATGGACGGATAAAAGTATCCAGCACTCCATAATGCTTAACAATTATCACGGCTGCTCAATGTAAAATACAAACGTAAAAATTTGCTACAGAGTAATGAGGTATATGCGCTATACCTATGTATGTAGAGAAAATGTGACCACTGTTTATTACATAATGCGTGGACATTTCGCTATTTCAATGAAAACACCAACCCTGGTACTAGTTGAAATCCAATCACCTTCTGAATGTATTATTCTGTCAATTTACAGTATCTCATGTGGTATAACGAGTAACTAAGGCTTCGTTGTCAAATAGATATTCGCTGAACGATACGTATCATGGTCATATATATACACGTTTCCATAGGAAACAAACTTAAACGCCATATAACAAGAGTTCTGCCTTCCACTCGAGTCCCACTCGAGGGCCTAGAGCAGAGTGCCATTCACCAGTCTCCTGAGCGCATATTCAAACCACCTCCATTTCTTCTGCGTATCTGTTGGTCAATAGGTTCTTGGTTAGTTTGTTGCCAGAGTTCCATGTTAATTATCCTCCTTGCCGATCTGAATTTCAGTACCGACCGATTGATGTTGATGAAATTCTACAGGAGGTTGTTGGAATTGTTATTCATGATGCGTACTCCATATACGAGCACCGACTGATTTGATATTACTGCAGAACTTCGGATGTTGTTCCCCATGGATCAATCACTACAGTAATTTCAGAGGAGTCAACGCCTGTCTTACTTTCTTTATCCTGTCCGGCTTTAACAACATCATCCGTGAGATAACTTGAAATACAAAGGATGGTACGCAAGCCAGGTAAGTGGAAGAGGGGACTTCCATTAGATTTCTCTTATTGTTGACATTTGATGCTGTCGTTATTTTCATTGGTTGGGTATCTTCATCGCCTGTGTATTCACTTCAAAAGCTTCACTGAGCATTCCGTTATGACTCACTTGGTATGTGGCATCATCATATTGTTGCTGAATGAGGTTTACAAAGGTTTGGAAGACAGCAGTCCGTCGCGTTAGAACAGCTTCCAAATTACTACACGGTCATTTCTATCAAAGTCGTTTTCAGAGTCAATGAAGTTGAGGTGGAGAGTTGACTGCCAGTCTATGCACTGTGAGGTGGCGTTGCCTAGCATTATTTACTACGATTAAATCCGGCCTGATTCAGGAGAAGTTTGTCACCCAGAGCATCTTTTATTCTCCCTAGAATGAGGTGATCAAATCTTTTACTTACTGTGGACAGGAGCATTATTTAACCCCAGTTCTCTCAAATGGATTAAATCACCCTTCTTTGGGAGTTTGAAAAGGCAGCACTTCTTCCATTCAATAGGTGCCTTTTCCTTCCTTCCAAAGATTCTGCAATAGTGGCATGAGTCCGAATTGTTTCACAACTTCTGTGCAATTAATGTGACAGACCACAGTGGAGACTTTCCCTTATTTTTACAGTGTCTCCGTAGTTAGCAGTCATCATGAATACTTACTGCTTTAAAAGTATCAACTCACTTACTCTATGAAGTGATTGAACAGATTACTTGAAATTTTCTTTAGTGGTTCTGCACACTGAAAAAGTAATCACAAAGATAATCGTTATTAAACTAAAGCAGACGATTTAGTCGGAAGAATATAAAGCTAAAGTCTACAGAAGAACATTTATGAATACAAAACAACAACATCAACAAGTTAACTGACATTTATTTAAGTGAAATAATTCACTACTACTTACATGGTTTATATCAGTAGCATAATTTGTGCAGATTTCATCGATTTTCTCATGAATAAATGTATTAAAGTGCATTTTTAATTGTTCATCATTTTCATCTGAATAAAAAGTGAAGAAAATTGCTGGAATTTTTTTCATTTCAAAGTATTCGCAATAATAAAACATTAGGAACATACTGACATCCCTAAATAGTTGTTACGTTCGTAACAGAAACTTACTGGAAGGGAATATATTGATAAACTCACTGTGGCATACTGTCAAGTCGACATGACAGTCAATATAAGGTGACTCAATGATTTTCGGTTACCTGGGTAACCAGTAGTCAAATAGGCAAGATAATATTAAGTGATGTTGTGTGGTTGGGGTCAATCAACATGAAGTTATTACATCATAAGAATAAAAAGATGGTTTATTACTGACACTTAAGAATAGATATCGAAGAGTCTGAGGTTCAAAGCTTCAGGCGTATTTAGGGATGCTACAGCATGTCAGTTAAATGGTATGGGATCTCTAGTAGATACATAGAAGTTTGTTATAGGTGTTAGAATAACAATCACATGCGCATGAGTGTGGGGTTAAGTTCCTGACCGACGTATCTCAGGACTCTGTCTAGCTGGTGGCAACAGGCCCAGAAAAGAATGAAGGTTGGGCGTGAAGATAGCAATCACACCACGTAAAAGCATAAACACTACTGCAACTTCATTCGAACTGCAAAAGAGTGAATGCTTTTACAGTATGTCACACGGATAGATGCTGTCGACATCATTCCTTGTTTCATCATGACTTGGGGCTTTTTCTTTCAAATATTCAACCAGTCTTCAGTAGAGAAGTGTGGAAAAGCCGACTATAGTGCATACTTCAATGAATCATTAAATTGTTTATTTTATTTAACCCTATTGGATTCCACGAAGGACTCCCATGAGGAGGCAGTATGATGAAGAAGTGAACATGACACTTGGAGACTTCAGTAAAAGTATTATCTGTTAAGTACAGTGTCTTTTATCTTGCAGACCTTCAACACTAATATCAAGTCACTGCTTCTATGTGGTACACAGACTTGGCACACACGTCACCAAAGGCATTTCAAACAGGCTGCACACTCTGATTAACAGCTGCTTTCACTGCCTCGATACTGAAGACCAGATACCGTCAGAAAGGATTTTCACCAAGGAATTCTGTTAAGCAGCGAACTAACCATGAAACTATTGCCTAAGAAATACGCAAAATGAAATGGAGATGGATTGGACATACAATCAGGTGACCGTAACATCACATACTAGACCAGCAAGTGGAGCCCGAATGGGAAATGACGAGTTGGGCGTCTGGAGGTGACATGGACGAGATCGTATGAGGAGGAAATGAAACCACATGGATAATCGTGCAGCCAGCATTAAAAGACTGCAGATAATGGGATGAAATGTAAGTGTGCCACTGACCATCTATATTTCACTTGGAACTTAAGGGAGTAGTAAAAATGTAATAATAGTAATTATTATTATTATTGAGTCTTTTATTTTAGTTGGTGGAGCACTGAGTCAGAATAATACAAGCAGCAGACTGGAATCGTCAGACTACATATTTAAATATCTTTAGAAATCACTCTTTTATAACTCTTATAAATTTCAGATACCGTCTGGAGTTGTGTTTGTTAAATAATGTAGAAAGTAGTAAGAATGTCTTCTATGACAGTGATGTAGTGCATAAAAGGAGACATTCCAATCACAAATGGACATCCGCCCTCCTTCATCGACAAACATCTGAAGAGAAAGACTGATGCTCCATGAAACCTGGTTGTATTGAAGAAACGAATAACTATAGATCTAATATTCAAGAGAGATATAATTAGTGAAGTTCTCCAAAATCGCCTGTCGAGACCATTCCGAGTAACGTTCTTTACTGCATCTCTACGCCTTGTCTTCTTCACACATGCTCTTGTCGACCAAAATGTCAAAGACAGTATGTATTTACCAAAACACCTGCTCCTGTGGAGCTAAGTACATAGGCCGTGCCAGCAGGACATTCTCCTGACGAGCCAATTGAAACTTACCAGCATGGTTATATAAGGGAAAACGTAGAAAAGTCAACAGCTGAATTCTGGAGCACATTATTACTTCGGGTCATGAAGCACCAACAAAGGCTTCATTCACAGCCACATATAATGTAGGATCAAGCCAGTCAGAAGGATTTCGTTCACATCTTCTTCGTGCAGTCGAGGTTTTATCAATCTGTGAAGAGAAACCCGAACTTACCAAATTAGTTGTCATCCCTACCAATTATGAATGACTGTTCACTATTTTTTGCACATTATTAATTCTCATATACTTTGACATATTTTGTTACTAACAGACAATAATCTCTGAGCTTTGTTGTCAATTAACATTGTATATATAAACCCCTAAATAACTGTACAGACTTGAATTGAAGTTACGAAAAGAGATCTCTCTCCTGACGTGGGAAAATATAGATGCCCAGGTTAAGAATTTGATCTTCAAGGAAGTTAGTAAATTAATTTGGTAGATGGTGACTGGCAGTGGATTTCAGGATGCACATTAAGTTCTATTTCGGACCCACCAGCTGGATGTACCCCCAGTCAGTTATGTGGTTTCCACTGAGTCTTGAACCCAGTACCCGCATTTTCAAACGCCAAAGCGTTATCCACTGGGCCACCTGGGTCACAAGAGCTGCCACGTCTTGTGCAGCGGATATCAGTTTTTATTTAATTTAACTTGGACGTTCTTGTTGATTAATTGGACTGAAGTGTTTGGCCTCTGGATACCGCTTTGGAGTTTGCAACGACGGGCGCTGGGTTCCAGACTAAGTAGGAAAGCCATCACTTACTGGGGAGTGCAGATGACGACTATCAACCAAATTATTTTCAGTCAAATCCTCGAACATCGTCGAAGCACCCAACATGTCGACCCAAGGTCGAACACTTCGGTCCGGTCAATCAACAAGAAAGTTCAAATTAAATAAAATAAGAAGTCAGTGAATGTTAGCTGCATATTTAAGATCACGAGACTATCAGCCTAAGTATCAGGACTCATTATTGTCTTAACTTCTGTGTTTAGTTTGAAATTCAATAAATCTTGAGGAGGTTATTCAGCCCAGCAATGAGAAGATTTAAAAAATTCAAAGGTCTGTTAAAATCATGGATAAAAATACTTACAAGTTCCATGAAATCGATCCGATTTACCACACACTGAAATAGCCTAAAACAAAAATAATAAAAAATAATTGTTACATTTTCGAAAATGTTGTTTTATAAGGCAAATCCTTCAGAGCTAATATCTCCACTCATTAATATTTCTTCCTATGAATAAACGATTCATCTACTGAATTGAAATATACCATGTTAGATATTATTAGGTGTAAAGACCCATTCTGTTTAATCTTTTGATTCAGACGTGTACGAATGCAAATGTCGCATACAGGGTTGGGTCTTTATGCTTAATAGTTGATACAACTTTTCTTGCGTATGGCTTCTGATGCTTACTACGGTTTGTTCTCCTTATTTTATATTGTGAAATATCATAATCACACCCTTTTCAGGAAAAATTTTAAAAACCAAATATGCCGCCAAATTGGAGGTTAATTTAAACAACTAGAATACGTTTAATTATACAAAAAGCAGAAAACAGTTGACTTTGCTAAACATAAGCCTTTCTTTACTCTTCAATAATGGTCAGTTAGTAGATATAACTATTGAATAATGAGGCTAATTGGTCCAGTGAAGACAGTCTCTCCAGTCACTGCACTTACTACATTAACGGGAGTGGACACTGTGACGGAATGTAATTACATTTTATATGAATTTATTTGATATAACATTCTTTGACATAGTATGAATAACTGGATGACGTTTTAAGCACAGTTTAATGCTCATAGTCATCACATAACTTTCACACTTCGTCATTTTATTCCATTATTTCTCATCTCTTGATTTGATTGGTAGTAATATTTTCCATATTTCTGGTATGAGTGATAAGTCATTCCTATTGCACGTATTGGGTCTAGATTCGATGAACAAAGAAGATTCAGTGATTACACCTTAAGCTCTTCTCACCTCTAGTAATACAAAACCAAAGCAGATCATAATAGTACAAATGAATACGGTGAAGTCCTCATTGAATGGCAATCTTTCAATCAAACATGATAACTTACATCACATAAAGTTGCTGCATTGATTTGATTTAATTGAATTGTAACCATTCTGGCCAATTCACCAGATAACAAATAATCGCACTAAATTTAAAATATTTAGGAAAAAAATTAAAACAAACACTCATCAACTGGTTGATACGTCGATCTCACTCAACAAGCAGATCATTTTCAGAAACAATAAGATGAAATGTTTGTCAGTAATTTACTTTCATATTATGGAACACCCTTGCCATCTTTGAGACTGACAACCTGCTGACGAAAATACTGTTATTAACAAGCTTAATGCTTCTTTGAATAACATTGAATCAATAGTATCAACAGATTACATTTCAAGAACATCAATATAAGAATAAACTGAATACCGGATAAACTGAGTGGAATATCACAGAACTGATGAATTTATAAATTCGACAGCCGACAATAGTGGCTAAACCTTTTTCTTCTACACAGAGATCTGCGGTCGGTTTGAGGGAACTGAAATTGCCCCTGATGCTTGGTTTGTTTTAAGTATCTAGATTTCTTTGGCATTTTATTCGATATCGGATAGATCACAGAGAAATGTTCTTCAGTGCTCCTAGTTTTGTGGCCTGTTTGCACTAGATGGTTCATTATAGAACTGCTAACAGTTTTGACAACACCTTTATTCAGCCACACTGGTAGGTGTTCTCCAGCACGAAAAATTGAGTCCTTAGAGTAACAGCCAATATAAATGGCACCATAGGAACAGTTAAACTGATAGATACAATTAGATTGGAGGATTTCATCATGAGCTGACATCAGTTAGAGAACCACTGAGAAACCTGGGAGTATTGGACAGCTGTTTTATCCTAGTTTGGGACCCTCCGTCAGTAAGCACACATCGCCAGGGTTTGAACCCAGGACATTCTGATTACAAGGCTAGCGAGCTCGTATACCATTCAGCCATTCGGACCCGATCCAGTGGCCAGCCCAAGAATTCTTACTTCTGCCAACTCATGACATAGCGTGACCACTTCGCAATGCCTTCTTCAATTAGTTACTGACTCCCCTTCGACCTGCTGTACCCTACTGGTCACGGCTTCCCACTAGAATACAATGAGAGACAGGTAGCCTGAGCACTTCATTTTTCAGTTTCGGAATTACAACTGATTGTATGAAAGATATAAGCTGCAGTTTACCTGCATTAAACTTTCCTGGAGTAAATTTCTTCAATTTGTTTGGTTATTATTTTACTAGCTTGGTATATTACCTTTGAATTGTAGCAATCTATAAAGAACTACATGCTGAAGCAGGGTAGAAAAGGCATCTTCAGATGCGAAACAAAATGTCATTTCAGTCTGATCGGACTTGAAAAGTAACAAATTTACCAGCAGAACAAACAGAATTCCTAAGATGTCTACAGCTGTGACAAAAACACTTAAATTTCAGATTTAATAACAAAACAACCGTTTTCCTGTCTTCACTTACCAATTCACGATAACTTTCGTCAGGCATTAAGTAACAAGTCGGGGACATAATTTTGAAAAAAGCTCTCCAAAGAAATTCTTCTCGCAGAATTCCGAGTGTCATATTTGCAGCTGACATACACATTTTACATACTACAGGAAAAATAAGGATCCAAACAACAGGGATAAGCAAACTTTTGTATCAACATGCATCACAAAACAATAAAACGACTTGAGATATGCTTAATTCAGCGTTCCCTTTTCCGTCGACTAACTAAAGCGAAATCTTTGGCTTCTGTTGACACGCTGGCTCCTAGTATGGACGCTGTGGTAGTGACCGAAGATTATTATTGATGTTATTTGCTGGGATCCGCCATTCGTCCTGTTTGGGACACGTCTCCTAGGTGTACCTCCAATCCCGACTGACTAGTGTTGTTCTTACTGAGACTCCAACCCGGTATCCTCAGTTTTAAACGCCACAATGTTATTCACTAAACCACTTTAGCCAGTGGTAGTCACCATATACCGGATAACATCGATTTGAAAAATGAGTGTAAAAAATGGTTTAGATTTGAAGAAAAATATGCTTCAGATAAGTGATTAATTCTCCCTAGAGCTATTTAACTACTATATAATAGAAGAATCTTGAAATGATACTGAGAGAAATAGATAAATGTGAGCTAAGGTATCTATAATCTGAGAGATATAGCCCTTACAAGTAAAGAAATCATTATAATTTCATTTCTATAACCAGCTATTATACCCTCGTCCATTGTTTTTTTCGTAATCAACTTTATCCTACTTAATACTTAAAGTGCTATCCCCTTGTAACTCGTTATTGACTTCCATAAATATATATCTCATTGTAATTTGTACATAGTAATGGTTCGAATGTAGAATGCTCACCGACCACATCCTCAGGCCGGGATTCAATTACTCGCCGACCCATTCCCAAGCTTCGCCTAGCCGGTAGCAAGCCAGGAAAGACGGATGATTAACAATCTCACTCTGTTAAAAGCAACACTAGAGCTACTGAAACTTCAAGTTTGTTGTCATATGTTGTACTCGGAAAGCAAAGAACAAAAAGAAAATGTACTCCGCTTTTCTTTACTTCCTAGTATTGAACTGTACTTGATGTTCTTGCGTTTTTCTATGTTCCACTGCCTCTTGAACCTAGTTTATGCTATCCCCTTTTTCATTACTCTGTGTATTTGCACTTCCATCATTTCTTGCCATGGATAGTTTTGAAACAACTCTGTTGTTCATCTTATAAATGCTCTTTCTTGAAAGTGCCTTAAACAGCAGTCAATAAAGACACTTCACAATGTGAAGTTTGTAATTTGCTCCTCATTATAGTTATTCAATAATTAATACAATACGGTAACTTAGACAAATTCTACCTTCTGGAATTTATCCATTAGTCCAACATTTGGTTTACATGATCGATAGTTCAGCTGACCGTTTTCGTTTCAAATTTAAGAGAGACGATTTTTACTTTTGACAACCAAGGTGCATACTAGTGGTCGGGCTTTTTTTCATGCAGTCTAAGCTAGTAAAATTGTAATCACAGAAAGTGGGATAAAAATTTCTTAGTCTCATTAAACAACCAAAACCAGATTCATTAATCAGCAATTTTCTAAACTGAATAAACATGGTCGTCACTGAATGCTTGTTCATACTATACTGTCTAAATACCATTTTTCTTCCTTGAGTTTATTCGGTTATAAGAATTTAAGCAGAAAATAACAAAAGTGGATTAAGGCACCTAAGATTTCAAAATAACTCTACTTCTTCCATTGATCTGGTAGTTATCATTTGCTGATGTAATTCCCGCATTAAGCACACAATTATATTCAGTCGAAACTTACCGATTCCATTCTGAACATGTTTATCAGTGTTGGACACCTAAAATCGAAAAGGGAAAGAAAATACCGGAATTTATTTACAGTTATATTTTGGTTTATAAGGCTGATCAAAATACAATGTGACATATTATTCACCCAAACATTTCTATGACAGCGAATAAAAATGTTAAAAAATACTTGTCCTACCGGGAGAAATGTTTGTTGCAGTGATAGTTTCATGTCCAGATAAAAAGAATCTCAGGTGTTAGTTTGCAGAGGTTTGATTAGTTTCAGGTTTGACTACGAATTGACATTGGTGAGAGGAGCACTGGAAAACTTGTGAGTACTCGACAACTATTTCGTCTTAGTTTGGAACTCTTCATCACTACTCACCCACTGGGGTTCAAGCTTAGGACTTTCCAGTTACAAGGTGAGCTCGTAGACAATTCAGTCAATGGAACCCATCTGGAACAGAATAATCTGTCTAGACTTAATGCTGAGCCTTGATGAACAGGATTTCTTTTTCTTGTCTCTTACATATTTATAAGTGAGTGTTATGGACTGTAAATATTATTTATACCATCAATAAAATGATGTATTTAATTGCTTAGTTGTTATTATTACTTTATGTATCATCACCTTAATTTGAATCTACTTTGCGTCAGTGGCTAACTTCACAATGATTTCCGTCGAAATTCCAGGGGAATCTATCAAGTCGAAAATGAAAGTTGACACTTATTAATGGTATGCAGTAACTAAGAAATTCTGTTATGAAATACCAGAACTTGCTAGTATTCCTACATGTTCACCTTACTAATCAGCACTCCCATCTCAATCCCTAAACAACAGCGTGGGTGTGGGTTGTTGAAGAGTCACCGGAAAGGGACGAAATACCTATCCATTGTCATTTGATTTCTCTAGCTAAAGTTATTTTGTGGCAAAAGCAACATTAATGCGAAACAAGTACATAGGACAGTTGATCTAATGCATTGTTGAAGATTCAATTGTTGAAAATTATGTAAGTTCTAATGTAAGTTTACAGCACCTGTGAATGATATCATCTCGTTATCTACTAACCAGAAGCATCTTCCAGCGAGAAACAATTTTTGTTGTCGTGGTGTTGAATCCTACCAGTTTTTTAAATTCAGAGTAAGAATCTCCTCTTCCAAGTTGTAATGCACAGTAGCAATACAGATACTCAAAGGAAGTGAATAGTATAAATTATTCTACTGATAGAAAAAACCCAGAAATAAGTAGTATGAAGTATGATACCTTCTCAAAAAAGGTAAAAGTTTATATTAAAATTATAAAACTGTTGAAGAAGAAGAAAAGTCTTTAAATATCATGAGAAATCTGAGAAACAACAAACAAAAGGACTGAAAGTGCAAGCAACAGTAAAGGTTGATGATGTTCGTCAGTGGGTGGTACAATACTTGTCTATCAGGACGTTAATGGATAGGGTTTCGATTATTGGTCGATGTACACCTAAAAGATCCTTAGCTGGTTGAGAGCGTGGTAAGATAGAAGGCTGAGTGTAAAGCTAAGAAATACCAACCTGTAAGAAACAGGAACCAGTGTATATTCTATCGAAAGTAATACAACACTGAAGGGCAGTGTCATACACATTTGTTTTTGTATGAATATGACTTTTTCTACAGAAATAGCGACAAGCCTCGATAATGAGTGATTAAATGATAAAAAGTAAGCATATAAAACAGTTAATTTTAGAACTTCAAGGGGAATAATTATGCCACGGTACTCCAATTGGGTGCTTACACTTTTAAAATATTGAATCCATATATTCACTAATCCTGACCATAGGAAATGCTTTTGAAATAAATCAAAGCAACTACAATTACTGGATACGGAGGAGAAACCTAAGGACGAATCATTTGCTAGTATGAGCAACTTTTAGTTACTTATATCGATCAAATAGTATATAATGTCCAAAACTTCTTTTTAGGTAAACTTATATGTCATAAACATTTACAGAAATATAAGATATTTTTGCTTAGTTATAAATTGAAACAGTTTGTGCCGTTGTTTAAATGGTGGAATCCTCGTCAACGACGCTAGAAGTGGTTCGGCTCAATTTCCAAACTGACCCCCACATAAAACTCGTGTCGCCCGGAGTAAGCCGGGTAAATAGAGAAGGTCAGGCGTGTGGCTAGCAATCTTACCCCGTAAAAAGACTCAAAAGATCAAAGTTTGAATCCCTATGTCCCACTCGGAATGCAAAGGAACTCGCAAAGACCCATTTAAGTGACAACTTTTCAACTATAACTGAACACTGTATTACATCATAAAATTGACAAAAAGCTGATTAAAAATCATAGAAGACTTACCTCCACAACACCTCCATGAACCAAATTTTTGGGATTTAAATCAAAGCATCCTATGAGTAGGATTACATAACACAATTATTCATTACCTAATAAAGCGATAACAATACACGTTAGTTTAAGCATCTTTTCCTGTTGTCCACAACAATTCAAGCTCCTGTAAATAATAACGAATAATTTCAATGAAGGATTAATTTATACGGAAACAATTCGATACACACTTATGTTTTCTTTTACATTTCTGGCCTGACCATCTTCTGAACTTTGATCAGTATACTAATTTAGGAATGTAATTTATACATTTCTGTAGTTTTTAGCAGAGAAGTTCGTTTTTTTTCCGTACGCGATACTGTTGTTGTTAAAACAACAGAACATCAATGACCAGATTTCCGAAAGGTTGATTATCAAAGGTTGAAGTAGTATCGAAACAGATTTCAGCGTACAAAGTTCACAAAGTCCTTGAAATGTTATCTACACATAATAGTTAGTAGTTAATTCAGCGTAGGATTAAATTAGTGTTTATTTCATAAATGCACAAAACAATTATACTACTGATTCATCGAGATGAGTAGTTTTGTATACCACTCACATCGAACAGTTGTGCCTGTTAGATAGCTATACTGATGTGATTTAAACATCGGACGGCCGTTTTGCTCCTTTGAGACAGAGATCACTAGCGGGTAGAGTGCTTGGTTTGACTCGGTCCATGAAGCCGAACCATTCCAAACCATGAAGTAAACTTCACCCATTTGAAGTCTTCAGCTATCAGAATAGAGCGATAATGGTCGCTTTTTAAGGGATTCGAAAATGTTACATAACTTCTGATACTTATCACCAACTAAAAATGACTAAATTTTGTCAATAATCGTATGTTCATCTCACTTCTTGTATTTCCCAGTCTTTCTGATTTCTCGATACTGATTGATTGGTAACTCTTATGACTTCGAGTTGAATTGAGGGTATGTGAACGTCATTTAATGTCTATGCACTCAGCATCACTCGTGGTGGAATAACGTTTCGGAAAATCTCTCCTGAACGACCTATTTACAATAGTGGCACTTGTTTGAATATTTCAACTAACTTCCTAATTATTTTCCTCTTTTATTCTAAGATGCATATCTCTGCCCTAATGTTTACAATATTATCTGTTGACTTACTCCTTATTCAAGTATTGGTTTCTAGGGATTCGATTGATTGGTTACAGGATTCCATCATAAGCTGACAGTGGTTAGAGAACCATTAGAAGACCAGCTTGAAGTACTGGACAGTCGTTCCATCCTAGTTCGGAACACTTCAGCAGTACGCACCCATCGGAGTTCATACTTAGGACCTTCTGGACCCTGGACCTTCTACGAGTTAACCTTGTAACCAGGAAGTCCTGAGTTTGAACCCCGCATTGTGGGTGCGTAGCCGAAATCAGCTCATGATGGAATTCTTATTATTTGTGTTTGTTTCTGTTTCATCTCTAATTTTATTACTTCTTTTTATGGTTGTGTAATGATATTGATGCTATGTTGTTTTGCGACTGCAATTTTATTTGAGTGCGCCAAGTTCATTCTAACCTTAGTCTGCCTTCATGAATTGTTGATTGTTTTGAACCCACCTTACTGAGAATATTTCGCCTGACTCTCAGTTACTTCTTACAGTTGACTTTGGTTAAATAATTTTACTGTATTGTAGTTGTTTTGTAGCTGAGGGCTAATTTGATCTATACAGCTGCCTAGCGACATTGTTGAGGTATTTCTAAGTTTTGATGTATTATGATTGTTAAAAAGTACCTCAGGTTTTATCGCAAATAACTGTTTTTGCTCTCATCGGGAAATTTTGAGACTGTCGGTAATTTAAGCAAGTTTTGTTCAGCTATACAATGGAACACAAACATTGTCTTCTTAATTCCAGGTGACAACTCGTTGATTCTGTCCGCTACATTGCTTTCAGTTTTTTGAGTGTTGTCTGAGACAACCAGTAAAAGCCCTCTTGTCAATGTTCCGTGTTCTCTCCTGCTTTACCGTTTTTAACATTGTCGTTATCGATTACAGTAGCTTACTTTAGTGCATATGAATGTATATATATACCATTCGAAAGTATATGATTTATACTGTTCTATAGCGATGCATACAGAATACTACGAACATCATTTTTACTTGGAAAATGTCGGAATCTAAAGCAAAGTAAAGAAGAAGCAGGCCTTAGAATTACTAGATATCTCTTACTCATATCAATTTGTAATAAACAGAAATATGGACGCAGGTGGAAATTTGTCGATCAGTAAAGAAATCAGCGGGATAATCAATATCAGTACAGATGAATCTCATCACAAGGTAATCTCTAGAAATCCCTAATCCCAGTCAAAACCAAAACAGCGAACACAGCTGTTTCATTTAACCAGAATTGTGAAGTGCCACTTTATTTTGAAGTTCATGTTTAATAAGCTATCCAGAAAGGCAGAGGAAGCTTCACAGTTAGATTATCTAACTCAGAGAGTATAAGAGCACCAAAATATTCGCTTCGGCTACAAATCTCTTCCATTATTTCGAAATATCTCTCTTCTTTGAGGATAGAAAGTCAGTGAGGTAGGCGTTGAAACAGTTCTGAGTGGAACCAGTTAAGCGAGTTTCAGGTGTTCGACAGCCGGGAATCGAACCCAAACTATTTGTGAAAAGGTTGGTGAGAATCTTAAAACTTAACTACTAATGCACAAAATCATGTCCAGTAGGCCATTTGTTCCATACCACATAACGCAATCCAGGATCTTCAAGTTACAAAGTGACCTCGTAGACCATTCATGCCTCTGGAGCGAGTGTTGGAAAAATTAGTCATTTTCTGGGATGAGGAACCATATTCGTCACCATCAAACTTCTCTTACTTACTAAAGTCAATTTACAGCCTAGTATACAATACTGACTACTTTTCAACTGGAATTTCTGGTGTTTTAATATGAGGTTGTGAATGGTCTGATCAGTCTTACTAAGGTTGACGTCAATCATTCATAAATGACATTCCAAAGAGTGTGCATCATATCACATCATCTGATAAACATATGCTGCTTTACCCTGACACACTGGCTAATTTGTATTATGCTTCTTGTGACATTTTGACACAGTTCTACATCAGTTTACATAACATGTCTTCTTTTACTTTCTCTGTTTGACCACTCTCTCCTGCCATAATCTATTCTTGAAATCAGGCACTACTCTCTGTAGGAAACCTTCAAATAGAAGGTTTCAAACCGCTAATTAATACTCTGATCTATCCTGATATTAGTCTCCGTTTCCCTACCTTTCTTTTAATTTTCGCTTTATGTACAAATAGGAAGTGTAGTATCTTAGACTGTTAAACGTCGCTTTTATGAATTATGTCGGTTCTATGGTGTGATGGTCGTCGACAGGTGTAGATTGAAGTCATCGGCAAAAAATCATATACTCAGGTTGTGTTTCAGATGGTTCCTGTGTAGAACGTTCACTAGAAACACTAGAGGCTTAGGTACTACCACTACAAAGCTTGAAGCCCTACAGTCTACTTGGAATGACAAATAGTACCGAGAAGATCCTTAAAAAAGTAGCACACAAATACTGAGAATAAAAACTTCTCTAATAAGAAATGGTTAATAGTGGAATCTAGGCAACAGTATATAATCTTATCAGTATTCATCATAAATTGATCACAATATTCATCAGACCTACTGTTGTTCGTCCTGTTTTCTTCAGTACTGTTTATTTATCAAACAAAACAGGAAATCCACTTCACAGTTTGACTTGATATTTTTGATGAAGAAAATGAGTGATTTTCGGCATTAAAGCGTATTTCCTAACAATATCGTGACACTGAAAACAAAGAGTTCTTGCAACTGACCAATGGATTAACATAAATTTTAGAAATTTCAGTAGCACCAATCACTATCAACCGGAAAAACTTGAAAGAGGTCACTTCCTTCATTTATCTATGCAGTATCATTTCAACTAAATTAATTTGGGACAGATGAGTACGTCAAAACCAGAATTGTATAGGCAAGACATATCTTCGTCCCTATGAAATCAGTTAAGAAGTCTTCTACAAGCAGAGTAAAGAACGAAATCCGGATTTTCAATACCAACGCCAAGTCAATCCTCCTATGTGGGTCAGAAACCTGGCATGAGCGTCTATTAAAGCGCTTCTAACGGCCCACTGCAGACTTTCATCAATAGCTGCCTTCTCTGACTCGATACTGAAGATCAGATGGTTGGTCAGAAATAATTAGCAACAGGAAACTCTAGGGACGAACCAATCAGTAACTTATTGCCTAACAAATATGCCAAAGAAAATGGAGAGATGGATCGGACACACACTGAAGAGACTATTCAGTGACACTACACTGGATTGCAACCTGAATGGTAAATGATGAGCTGAGCATCTGAAGGTGACATGGAGTGGATTGTATGGGGAAGAGATGAGAGCTTATAACCAATTCTGGGACCAGCTGAAAGGAACTGCAGAGAACACGGTGAAGGTGAGTGTACTCTTGAAGCCATACGATCCTTTTGGAACTCAGAGGAAGAATAATAATAGTATCGTTTAATAATAGTACTATTTCGGAATACATTATTTTCGTTTGGAATGTCTGACTGCACTTGCTTCAGCTAATGGTAGTAAATCTCCTGTCCTATGTATATTTCATATTTTGAAAGATTTGGAAATCTCAACGAAATGACCCACATTAACAAGGTGTCTGGTAATTTTGATTCGGGAATATCTGCTTCCCTGTAGGCACCTGTCTTGGAATATGCTCAGAAGCTCTTCCTTCTGCCCTGCCAATGTACTTGCTCCCGTAAGTGCACGCAAATTTTTAAATGCATTTGGAAGTGACATTGGCAGGGCACTTATTCAGTTTAGATTGGCTTACTGAAGATATTGTGTAATATGGTGTTATGTACGACCTTAACTGTAGGGAAACATCTTTTTGTTGTTCGTTTTATTCTTCTGTCAACTCTTTATGATATTGCTTCTTCTTTTGAATGGAAGACCAAGAAACACTTTCTTCTTTTCAACAGTTGGGTGTTTCATTTGTATTTCCATAGAATGATATCATTTTATGCTGCCAATTTGGTCTTTTCTCTTGCTTTATCGAAGTTTATCAACGAAATCAAGTGTATGCAACGACATTGCTTCAAGCGAAGCATTATGGATCCCTATATTACTAGATGATCTTGAACAAGGAGTAAATACTTTACAACAAAACAAGCTGAACATTCTGTTTACCATATGTAAAACAAACTTCACTGAATGAAACTGTCACTACATTAAAAATACACTCTTTCTTTAATTCTATTAAGCTGAAGTTTGGCATGCAGATTGTAATTTCAGTTAAACAACAATAAGTGGAATATGACGCCGTAACCAGTCATAAATAACATGAAAATAAAGTAGCTATTACTCATAGGTTTAGAAGAAGATGCAGGAGGTTTGGGCAGTTGGCTCAACAATAACGTCAATAACCACAACAACAACTTTGTTTCATTCCGCTGAATCTGGTGCTATCAATCAACTGAGCATACAGAAAGAAACCGTGGTTATTCTCAGTCTACCTATCTATTTTCACTTATTACCTAATTATTTAGCCGATATTTCATTTTTTACTATCTTTCCTGGTCTTCCCATATCATGGTAGTTTTCAGAAAGATATTTCTGTTGACGTTCTACGTAAGGAAGTTAAAACGATCTGGTATTATTCCGTCTCTAATGTCACCGTTTGTTAAATCTTGTATTCTGTCTATACTTCGTCACTGTCCACTCTTAATCTTTCCTGGGCTACTTAAGAAAGACTTTGTTATACTGCGTAGGGCACTAAAAGCCGTCAGTAGGGTGAGTGGGATTTTGCTAAACCAGCTTGTTAATACTATTGTAGATAGACACTTGGATTCCTGCAAGAAATTGGTATATTTTATCGTCTCAGACTGTGAACATTCTCTCCATACACAACTTTCTCTAAGCATCTCATCGACTAGAACTAGAAGCAATTATTGAAGACTGTATATTAGGACGACTAAGTACAAAAACTCTACAATACCTTATTTAGCCGGGACACATTTTATGTGATGAGAAAGGTGTGTAAGACAGGAAATTACCATCTTACTAAGGAACTTTAAATAAACGGCATTTCTGTTTGTTCTCATTGTTACATTGTCGTTGCCGTTTTCACTTGATTTAATTTTATATCCATTATCAATGTAAATACCCTGTTTTACTTATTACCCCTGTAATGAGAAAACTAGATGTAATATTGTATTACATGCTGAAAATTCCATATTTGTACGAAAAGTACTGTTTGGAATAAAGCTATTATTATTAATATCACTCTCAACCCAGCGATCTGAACTCTTTCAAATCACTCCTATATTATTGCACAATCTCTATCCCTGTATTTTGCTGTTTAATTAGAGTTTAGTTGTGAAATCCAACTACCACAATTTATAGAATCTTCATTTAAATATATGATGAATAATTACTGCTCTTTCGTGTTATTTGTATCTTACATAAACTAGTACTGTAACGACAGAAGACAAGGGCCAGGCAACAGATTGTTTATTCAGAAAATCAACAGATATTTATAAATTTTTGTGTACATTATTATTCTTTATTTTTAGCAGAGAAGCAAGGTCTTTTGATTGGTTGTTTTCTTGCTCAAGGTTATTCTGTTATCTCTTTGTGGCCATGTTTTAGAAAGTCAGGCCATCTACCTGCGAATCGTATTTGCACACGTTAAGTCTGCTGTGATTGGTTGGTGAGCTCCTCATGGTTAACCTTTGTCATTTTTGTTTTTATCATGACCCCGATTCGGCTCGCAACTAGCTCTCACCACACGATGACCTCCGTGCCAAACTTCTCCCGAATAGAAGACGCACTCGTGCTAGTCTTGGACTCTTCAGTAGTATGCACCCACCGGAGTTTGAACTCAGGACCTTCTGGTTACATGGCGAGCTCGTAGATCATTCGACCATGGGGACCTTATCCAATAGCCCAACGAATTCCAGCTTCTGCACAATCTTCTTGTAACTGAAAGGTCCTGGTTTGGAATCCCTGTGGGTGCGTACCATTGAAGAGTCTCTAGCTAGAACCAAAATGGCTATTCAGTACTCCCTGGTATTCCAGTGGTTCTCTAACGCATGTCAGCTCATGAATAAACCTGTCACCAATCAAATCCTTTGCTAACTAATTGTTAATTCATTAAAATTGTGTTTATTTTAGACTGTTTGTTGCTGAGGCAAGACAAGCCTTGAAGTAAAACAATGTGCACATTTAAGGGCTTCAATGAAGACGATCAAAAGAAGACGCTGTATGAAATTCAACAAAATTTTGCTGTTTATTTTAAACAATATCTGTACAACTATGTATTCATACTGTTGACAATTCTTGTTTAGAGAGATAGAGAGAGAGAGAAAGACAGACAGACATAATTCCTTGTATCTTTTAGGTCAGTGAAATTCCTTCTACGCTTTCATTCTCTTGGTGTATGACAATACGGACAACGACCTTGTTGTAATGAGACCAGTTCATAGTCATCAGTATAAAAAAGCTGAAAAATAGAAATGAGGAAAAACACATGAGAAATAAATGTGACTACATTACTAGATGTATTATTTTATTTTTAAAAGGATTCATTGCCTGATTTATAACTCTGCAATAAAAGGTGGTGTAAATGAACGTGAACATTGAACGTTGGTTCATTGACCTTGGTCGCCATTGGCGGGCAACTCGAAGGCGCAAATGGCTCACTCGTGTACAAGTTGGAAGAAAACGAAAGAATACGAATAAAAGTACAATACATTCCTTGTAAAACATTTGCTTACAGACTTTGTACGATAAGTATTTAACTGCCAAACAATACAATTTCTTACAAGCTCTTGTGTTCTGGAGTCAAAGCCAATAATCGTACCTAGTAATTATCGATTCGGAGCGTATTCGCAAATAATACGAACTTAGTGTTAAGTTCCTTGACAGGTGGTTTTGTATAAAGTATTATTGCCTTAAGTTATGAGTGGAACATAGGGCTTCAAAAGCATAGCTCTATTTCATCCTGTTCCGTTCAGTCCTCTCCAGTTAGCTCCACAGTTACCTATAGGCTCTCAACTCCTCTCCCTACGCCTAACTCTTCGTTTCCCATTCAGGCTCCACTTAAAGGACTGTATAGTGCTCGATTTCAATGAATGGTCTCCTCAGCGTGTTTCTGAACCATCTCTATTTCCTTTTGCATGTTTGTTAGGCGAAAGGTTCTTAGTTGATCCGTTGCGAGCGCTCCGTATTTCGATAATCTTTTCCAGCCATCGAATCTTCAGTATGGAGCCAGTGAAGGTGGTAGCTGCTGATGAAAGTCTACATTGGGATGTAGGATATACTCTTTCTCGAGCTAAACTGGACGATGTTAGTAGTACGTCGTCCAGAAATGGAACGTCTTGCGCCAAAGTAAATGGTGAACATGCTGCCATGATTATATGGTCGGAAAAATTATTGCTACATGGAAAATAAACGAAGCTCATTGAAGCTTATCAGAATTTGGAGGAAAGAATTTGTGTAATTGCAGCTGTGTTACAATGATTGATTTTAAAACGTGTTACCAAGAATCTACAACTTATAATCTCTAGCATCATACAAATCCAAAATATTGACGACTTCGTGCATTAGTTTTCATCTGGCAACTCCATCTTTTTTGGGATCTAATCCCAGTTCAGCTAACAGTGTTCGTCAATGAAGATTGAGATTGCGGATACACTGAATATATCTTAACCCTTTCAATCAATAAAGACTGATAAACGTTTTAGTCCAATTTTCCAACCCTCTTTCCTTTCAAAACATTAAAATTAACCTTATTTTTACCTACCATATTGTTCCCCATAGCGTAGGCAACTAATCAAAGGCAATTACGGTGACAGAAACACTAAGTTCTCAATATGTTCTTCTTTCACAGACCACATCTCACAGTCGTAAAGTAGTTAATAAAAGACCTTCACGCAATAGACATGCACTCTGATGAAATAAGGACAAAAGTTGATGCGTTGTGAAATTCTAAGCGAATCATCTGTATTCACACTGAGATTCTGTCATCAAAAATATCACAAGGCCTAATATAACCTTCCAAAAACGTGAAGTAAGTGATAAACACCGAAGATAAGAGCTAAATTGATTTATAAAGCGCCTCAAAGAAACATCACTATGCAGAAATTATCAAAATAACCTCATATGGTCTTACAGTCTAGTAGCTGTGGTGTCTTCCAAGCTTTATAGTACTCTGTTAACACTAACTCAATGGCTTTAGTTACCTTCAACGAGTAATCAAAGTATTCATGACCTGTCACCAAACTTTGCAAAAAGTATCAAAGTATCAAAAGTTTATATGAAATTACAACTGATGAGGTCAACAGCACTCAGCAGGAAAAACAAGATGTGGATTTTCAACTCCACTGTGAAGTCAGTCCTACTATACGGATCAGAGACTTGGCGCCGCGTCACGAAGGCCACTCCGAACAAACTACAGACTTTCATCAACAGCTGCCTTCACTCAAAATCAGATGGCTGGCTAGAAAAGATTAGCAACAGGGAGGGATCTCTGGGAGCGAGCCAATCCAGCATGAACCAACTGTGCGACAAATATGCAGGAAGAAATGGAATTGGATTGGCCATACTCTGAGAAAACAAACCATCAAGTGACATCACAAGACAGGCCATTGCTCGAGTGGAACCCGAACGGGAAGCGGCAAGTTGGTGGTCAGTGCAAGGGTGACCTAAAGGAGGTCATGTGAAGAGGAGATGAAAGCATATAGGCAGACATGGAACCAGGTGAAAACTTTGGCGGAGAACCGAACGCAATTGAGACGTGTGGCTGAAGCCCTATGTTCCTCTAGGAACTAAAGGAAACAATAATAATATAATGTAACTGACGACATCATTATAACTGGTATTAAATCGTTAAGTGATAGATATCAATGCTTAGAAGGGCTAAGCAATATTCAAAGTTAAATAAGGATGACATGAGATTTAAGAAAAATTTGAGAATATTATTTAGAGTGTGACATAATTATACACCTCTTATTCCAAAAAACTACTTCTTGAAGATTCGAAGTGGTTATATTTTATTTAAAGCAATGAAAAGTGACATGCCTATCTGTTTCTTACCTTATGACAAACTGAACATTGTGTAATACTAACATCAGGTAGAACAGATTTATAATAACGTGGTCTTAACGGTGAATTGTCAATAATTATCACTTCATTGAAGGGGATCGCTTTCAATGTAGCAATATCAAGTTGGACTGGTGAATATGTTCCAGAAATAAGCTAGAAAATATATAATAATATCGATTATAATGTGAGCAGTACTCAACAATATCTAGTATTTGTAAACACAAACAGGGTGAAACAACAACCATAAACTAGCTAACATTTAAAAACACCCTAAAAACATGGAATACAACATTCGTAATGACGAGCTGTTGTTATTAGATGATTGGTAGCAATCAGTAGTAAGCCTGGGACCTGGGTTTCGAGCTTGTGAACACTTGTCAGAAAGGCATAATCTCCAAATCTCGAAACAATCAGTGTCTCTTCTGAGATTCGAACCAATGTTACATAGTTCTGTAGGACTCTCGATTACCCTTCTAGAGAGCTATAATGTATACTTCGATTGAACACTAGGTAGTAACTAGCACCTTCTGACGCCTTGGTGAGTATCAGCAAGTACGAAACCTAGGCCAAAGGCTTCCTGCAGATTGCCTCCAATCGTCTAATAAAAAAAATTCTGATTGCATGGTGATGGCGAGCCAAATATCATGGTGGCCACACTGCAAGCAGTGCTGGCAGGATTCAGCCTGCATCGAAGGAAGGAGTAGACACGCATGACACTAGTTACTACCTAGTTTCTAATCAAAGTACTGGTCAGCTGTTCTCAACTGTTCAATCTGAAAGACGTTTAGAAGAATTGATTTTAAATTATTAGTTAGTAGGCATTCGATTGGTGAGGTCATGGGTGGGCGCACGGTTGAAGAGTCCCAAAACTATGGCGAAACAGTTTTTCAGTGCTCTTCGGTTTTCAGTCGTCCTCTAACTGATATCAATTCTTTATCGAAATTGAAACCAATCAAATCCTTACAAACTAACACTTGAAAGTTAATCAGATGCTCACTAGTGACAGACTACAGGAAGAACCTGTCTAGAATTCTAGCAAGGATTGGTGACCGCTGGGTTCAACCAGATCGGGTGTGATGACAAAAACTCGCCGATGACATTGTCTTATTAGTGGAGCTATAGATCACGAATTGACAGAATTTAGAATTCATAGGCCATTAGATTCGATTTCAGCGGATGAGTAGTCAACCAGCTCACCTAGTAACCTGAAGGTCCTAGTTTAATCACCGGCGTGGTGATGGGTGGGTGCTGCTGAAGAGTCCTAAACTAGAGTGCGATTCAGCTCTCCTGTACTCCCTCGTTTCCAATATTTCTATAACTGATGTCAATCTATGATTACACTACAATTATGAATACTCTAGAAGGCGATTTTACAAGATATGATTATACTATACCATGTTCGTCTTCTATGTATTGTTAACAGCATCGGATTTTATCAACCGTATTCAAATAAGATATATATTCACGTAGAAATCATCTATAATGTGTATTTTATGAACATTTGTGTATCTATCACCTGTTGAGGTAGTAATTTCAATAGTATTGTAATTATTTTGTTTTCAAAATACTATTTCTAAAAAAATATATAAAATAGCTCATTCACTTACATCTGAATTTAACAATTTCGCGGTAAAAACATCTTTATTAATTTTATTACTATTAGTATTGTTATTATCATCTGTTTCATGTGATATTTTGAGTGTTTGTGAGACTGAAAACAAAAGTAATAAAAGAAATGTATGAATAAAGATATGAATGGCTCAGTTAATTTCAGACATGATGGAGAAGATTTGTCGCTCAGGTGGGTGATTTTGATGTAGTTGTGTTCTCTGAGCTGGATGGCTGGTTTATTTGCGAAGCTTTCATCGCCCTACTCGGCGACATCTTCAGAGCTTTTAGATTTCTCCACGAGTTTATAAGTCATCTCCTGGGGACCACCTTGAACATGATTGGTTGTTTTTGTGTGTTTTCACACTCTCTAGGCTACTTGTATTGGAATTGATTGTTTCCTTGACCTGAAGTTTGATCCTTTGTGTGTGACATTTCCTTCTTATCGATTGGTAAATTTTGTCTGTGTCGATGTGTTTATTGATTGACGATTCACTGGAATACCAGTCAGTCTTCTAAAAATTCTCTATTATTCTTGGTGTTTCCTCCATCTAATATTCGAACTTTGTCCCAGTCGAATTGATGTTCGTGGTTATCTGTATGCAATGATATGAGAGAGTGGATGTCATGTCTTTTGACGGCTAGTTTGTGATCATGGATACGAAGACGAAGGGGACGTCCACTTTGGTCAATGTAGTGTTTCCCGCAGTCGTTGCGTCTAATTGTGTGGTTTTATTTTCTTTCGTTGTTGAGTCTTTTGGTTGACACAGATTTGAGTGAAGTGATTTTGTTAGTGTGTGTGCGACGTCGATTCCTATAGGTTTGAAGAGTCTTGCAATGATATCCGAGATGTTCTTTATATATGATAGGGCGATTTTCCTTGTGCTTTCCTTGGGGGCTTTTGATTTAGTAGGTTAACTTCTCAACATAGATATTTGCTCAAAAATGGTAGCATTTCAAGTCGCGACGCTTCAAAATGTCTATAGCAGTGAAGAAAATAAATGCAGTAAAGCCACTATGGACCGCAAATGTACCGTAACAATTCAACGAGCCTGGAAGAAGAGGAGAAGCAGAGAATACATCTGCCGCGTTATCTACAGTCTCTAACCGTTGATTTTTAACATTTCGAAGAGCATAACTAAACCGTCTACACCTTCTTTATTAGGTAGTGTAATATGCGAAATAAAACTACGACGAACGAGGTGTACGGAAGACAGAATAGGCAGATGAATATTTGTGAGAAAGTTTTGAAAGTTCTCGTGCCAATGTGAGGGATTTTGAGCGATATTTCCAACGGCACAAATAGTTAGACATAGTCAGTTAGATGTACCATATATTAAATCCATCATTTCAAATATAATCAAAAAGTTTTGTACAGAAAGTCAGGATGTCAAAGATTCTTAGTCTACTGAAAAAACCCATTAAAATACAGTAGCTTCTCTCTGATGAAATAACAAAATATTTTCAAATTTTTGCCTTGTGAGGATGTGATATTAATTTTAGAGTTAATTTCATTATGGACTGACATCAGTCAGAAAAACACTAAAAATCTGGTGTAATGGACAGAAGTTCAGTTTGTGTTTAAGTCCCTCCAATGGTATGTAGCCATGAAGATAAGATGAGGTTGATAAGTAATCTTCAGGTTAAAAGACAAACATAATACTGTTTCGTTCAGAAGACAAATTAAAAGTAAAATTAAAAGTAAAAAATTAAAACCTTTTTACAGGGAACCACTAGTGAAGAGGTTAAGACGTAGCTCAGCCGTAAAGAAGGCTTTCCTCAGTGATCTGCATAAGCAATTCTTCAGGATCTCAGCTGCCGTATCACCTTTAAATTCAACACTCATAAATAACAGTTTCTTCAGCACCGTCTGGGTTCTTTCAGGCTTTTCCCTTTACTTCATGTTTTTCTCCATAAATCTTGGAGGATATCCATTCTCTATGAGGACCTGTCTGAGTCGCTCCAGTTCCCCATCGATTGTATCACTTGAACATATCCTCCTTATTCTTGAGTATAAGGAGTGGATCAGGTTTCTCTTTCTTCGCAAAGAGACCCAGCTATGGAAATTTGTGTACTGACCATTCCATGTTGTTTTCCTTTAGATCAATCTTTGAAGTGAACCATCAGATCTCCTTTTTAGAAGAACATCCAAAAAATCGAATTCCGAGTTCATTCCTGATTCTGACGTGAACTGGATGGCATGATGGCAGCTGTTGAACTCTTTAGTTATCAATTCGATGTCGGTATTGTCGTCACATATGATGAAAGTATCATCCGTGTAACTTTGGTACAAATGGGAACTATCGATATTGGGCGATAAAAAGCTATTCTCCAGGCTTGCCAAGAAGCAGTCTGCAAGTAAAGGACCCAATGGTGACCCAATTGCCACTCCATCTCTTTGTCTATAAAGCGTGTTGTTGAACTTGAATTGGACATTTAAAGTGCACCTCAAGTGCAGAGGCGCTGGCAATTTGTCAATACAACCCCGAACTCTGTATACAGAAAACGTTTGTCCAGTCTCTTATTCTACCTTGCTCTTAACCTCTTCACTAGTCGTTCCCTGTAAAAAATTTTGATTTTTTCTTTTTTAAATTTTACTTTTAGTTTGCTTTCGCTTTAATAATTAATTCACTATTATCACTCTCATATGCTCCTTTTGTACATTTTCACACCCTCTTCACACTTGTTAAATTGACACTCAGCTGCCTTTATTCCCAATCAATAGTAATTTTAACCTTATCGAATTCAAATTTCTGTTGATTTGAATCACAGAGTTGTTGCTATTCTACATCATCAGCTAAAATCTATCGTTACATTCGATTAGATGGACTCCACTAGCTGCATATTATAATTTTAACTTGATGAAATTCATTCATACGTTGATTGTATGATAATTATTTTTCCCCTATGTTCTGAGTATAATACAAGGCTTCAGCAGTACATCTTCATTTCATTCTGTTCTCTGAAGTCCTCTTCAACAGGCGCCACGATTACTTATAATTTTTCATCTCCTCCTCCTTCAGTCTCTTCCATGTCAACCTCGGAGCCACGCTCAACTAGTTGTTTCCCGCTCAAGTTCCACTCGAGGGCCTTATGTGCGAGATCACTCAACGGTGTCCTCAGCATGTGTCCAGTCCATCTCCACTTTCTTCGTAATAATTACTGGCCAATAAGTTCCTGATTGGTTTGTTGCCTGACAGAATCCCATCATGCTTATTCTTTCTGGCCATCTGATCTTCAGCATGGAGCGAAGGCAGCTGTTGCCAAATGTATGAAACCTGATGGAAATGGTTTTGGTGACGTACGTGCCAAATCTCTGAAGCATATGGAAGAACCGACTTAACATCCGAATTTTATTTTTTATGCTGAATGCAGCATACTTCCACACTGATTTCTGAGTGATGAAGGCATACCTTGCCTTTCCGATTCTGGTTTTGACATCCTCAGCCATGCCATCCACCTGTAGTTGAAACGATTTTATCTAGATAAGAGAAGGAAATGATCACTTTTAAATTTCTTTCGTTGATGATGCTTGCTACTTGTGGTTGGTTTGGTATCTTCATTACCACTATCTTCTTCGTGTTCATTCGGAATTTGGATTTCTCTGCTTTTTCTCCCAACGTTTTAGTTTTTGCCAAGAGTTTAAGTGAGGTTAGATGTAAATCGTCGTCGAAGTTCAAATCTTCGAGATCCTTCTTACCGGTTCAACCTATTCTTATCTTTCTCTAGCATTCTGTGGTGTATTTCATGATCTAGTCTGTTTCAATCTTGACTGAATATCATCAGTGACAGTAAGAAGCCTTGTCTTACCCCTGTCTTCAATTCGAACGCTTCTCTGTGTTTTCCGTTGTGGATAAATTGACATGTTGCATTGCCAACTGGCTGTTGAATGAGATTGATACAGATTTGGAGTACTCCATAGTGTCGAAGCAGTCTCCAAATTGCTTCGAGGCCAACAGCGTCGAAGATTTTCTCAGAGCCTCTGAAGTTGAGGTAGAGATTCGACCGATATTCTATCCTCTATTCAGTGATGATACCTTTCTTTTTATTTTTTTACTTTCTTAGTAAAACATAGAGCTTTGAAGATTCGGTAATAGTGGTATTTATTTTTATGGGATGGGGTCGCTAGTCTCATGCCTAACCTTCCTTCCTTAACAGTCTTATTACTGAATTGGCAAGTTAAAGGAGTGCTGCAGTTTGATCGATACATGATTTGCCTTTCCTGTATCCAGCTTCTTCCTCACGGAGTTCTACACCCAGAGAGTCCTTCAGTCTTTCCAGGATGACGCGACTTAATATTTTCATCACATACAAGTGGCACTACGAAACAAACAGATACCTATTCGAAATGAAACTAATATATGCCTGACAGTCATAGAGGAAAACAGGGTAAGACGAATTTGTAAATTCTTAAGAAGAGAGTAACTGTTCCGTCACACGTTTTGAACATAAGAGCCGTTAATTTAATGTAACACTAGTCATGAGCATAGCGCATCGGTGATACAGTGGTCAGGATGCTCCCCAACCACGCACAAGGTCTAGAGTTCGATCCCGGCTGCTAAGCTAGTAATATAACTGGTCAAGACGGAAGATTGAGCATGAGGCTAGCAATCCTATCCTGTTAAGAAATAAACACCACTGCTACAGAAACTTCAAGCCTCTAGCTTGAAGCCTTATGTTCCAAAGGGGACATGAAGGAATAATAACAAAACTTTAATTTTACTTACATCCATCATTTGTCTGTGAATTACTTTCATCTTCATTTACTGTTTGGTCACAAAATGGTGATAAAGGTTCACTTTGTAGATAATTGATAACTTCTTCATATGATAAATCATCTTCTGGTATAAATTCAACAACTGGTAATTGTTCTAGAGTAAACCAGAATCGGTAGGCATTGAATGTTATATATATATATATGTAATATAATAATATTAAAAAAAATTAGTACTGAAGATTTCATCACAAAGTAATATTGCCTTTGAAGACATCCTACTAGCAAGAAGACCAGATGGCAGCAAAGAAAAGGAATTTGCATACGAAAAATACTTGCATCCGTCAATATACACATTTTCACAGCTTTCTTCCTATCTAGTATAAAAGAAATTTGGTAAAGAGCCTCAGCTATAGTGTCTGATTTATTTGTTCAGAAGATGAGATTGAAGACGAACTCAAGGTTGTATACGAAAAGTTAGTTGAAAACAGCTAACTTGAAAAATTCATCACTAAACACACAGATGGCCAAGAGAGTAGAAAAGAATCCTTCTGCGTCTGATAACCGGGGCCTCTATATATATGACGACCAAATGAAATATTAACCTAAAGGTTGAGGAAATCAATTCAAAGAACGTTCAGTGCCGGTAAATTGCAGCTTATATCTTCCACACAACCAGTTGTAATCTCGAAACTGAAAGATGAACTACCTAGACTAGCCATCTCCAACTGTATCTATCAATTCAACTGTTAGTTATCATGGTCATTATTCTAGGAACCTAATTTCTTGTGCTCGGGAACAGAAATTCATGGGCTGGGTTTGAACCTCAGTGGGTGCGTACTGTGAAGAGTTCAAAACTAGGATGAAACAGCTGTCCAGTACTCCCTTCAGGTTTTCCGATAGTCCTCTAACCGATTTCAGTTCATGATGAAATCCTGAAACCAATCAAATCCCTGCAAGCTAACACTTGAATAACTCTTGAAAAGTTAGAAATGTATGTGCGTCGGTGGCACAGTGGTTAGGACTCTCGCCGACCATGCACATGGTCCGGGGTTCGATCCCCTGCCGGCGCACACCCGATATCTATGGTCGGCCTGAATTTGGGTTACCGATATCCATGCTGAAAATTCCACACTTGTACTGAAAGTACGGTGTGGAATCAAGCTGTAAATCAAAATAATAAATAAATTGTACTGGTAATACATACACTGTCCATAAATATGAGATAAAAAACTTAAACTAGATTACATTGTTTTATACTATTTAGTGTTTTACTCTACAGTCAAAATTCGTCAATCCACAGTGTTAAACAGTGAAATAAGTCCAAGTAACAGTATAGAAAGCCTACAGAATATTCTTTTGTGTCTTTTGACATCAGTTAGCGAACCATTAGAAGACCTGTGGGTACTGGACAGTTGTTTCATCCTCCTCCCTTGGGACTCTTCATCAGTACTCACCCACTGAGGTTAAAACCCAGGACCAATTGGTTACAGGGCGAGCTCATAGACCATTAAGCCACTGAGACTTGGTCCGATAGCCCATGAATTCTTACTTCTATGAAAATAACTTCTCGGTGTCACTACCATGTACACAAACAAAGCGAACGATAAAAACAAACTACTAATTAAACATCTAAAGCCTATACACATTACACAATCTTCATATTTTAACTTCAAAAGAAAATGATATGAAGTTCCATAGTTTGATTGGATGATCAGTCAAAAGTGAAAATATACCATAAGCACTCCATCAATCAAATAGGACATAATTGTAATATAAACATAACAGTTCCTTACCAAGTGTAATGAATGAATAAATAAACGGTTCTTTACAATTGATACATCGATTTCCCAGGCTATTCAAAAGTGGATTTGTAGCTGAACATCTATAGCAAATGGTGCTTATCTCCTGGAAAATGAAAGGTAGAGAAGATTTGAACAAGGAAGAAAAAAATGAGTGAATATAAAATAGTCATCAAATGTTTTTTTTGCAGCGATTGATTTGTTACAAGTTTGATTACGTGTTGACATCAGTCAGAGAACCATTAGAAAGTAGCAGGGAGTACTGAACAACTGTTTCGTTCCCCTTGTTTGGGATTCTTCAACAGTACGCGCTCACTGGGCTTCAAAACCATTACCATACGGTTATAAGGTGAGCTCGTAAACCGCTTAACCACTGGGACCCGAACCAAGGGCTCATGAATTCCAAGTCAGGTAAGAGAACAGTTCCTTGCATACGATATTGGCTGGCAGGTGGTTCCTCTATATATATTGTGAAGGAGCAGAAGTTGGAATTCATGGGCCATTTGATCAGGTCCTAGTGTTTGGATGGTCTACGAGCTTGCCTTGTCATTTATGTTATCATTATTAGTTTCATCATTATAAGAATATAAGGCATCTACAGCCTTACTATATAAGGAGGGGAGATCTCAGACCCTACGTAGGATTGTTAACACAGCAGGAATTAAGGTGGCGTTTGAACCTACAAACTCACTCAGGGACAAGCTCTGTAGGTTGAAGGATCCAGTTGAAACAATTAAACAATGTAATATAATTTACAAAGTACTTTTTAATGACTGTGAGTTAAGTCAACTACACAAGTCAGACCAGTAGACACGGGAGTAATCAGACTATCGAAACATAAGAATTTACCTAAAGTTGGAATGATTGACCCCAAGAAGATGAGTAATTTAGAAAAAAACTCAACATTTGCAGTGCATGCATTAACAAACAACCACACAATAGAGTGGGTTGCAGTTACAATTCTGGTAAGTAATATAGATATATGAACTGTGATTAAGATTTTTTACAAATATAATATAGATATATATATAGAGGGAGTTTGATTACTGAATCTTCTTTCATCGAATCTACACCCAACACATGCAATAGGAATGACTCATCACTCATACCAGAAATATGGAAAATATTACTGCCAATCAAATTAAGAGATGACAAATAATGGAGTTATGTGAACGCAGTTAGAAAGTTTTGTGAGTATTGCCTTGATATGATTATGGGCAATAAATTCTGCTCGAAAAGTCGTCAGTAAGTATTACTATATAACACTGTGAGACTTTATCAAAATAAATCTACCCACAATGGAAATACTACAAAGAACAGATTAAAATGAAGATGTACTCCTGAGGGATTCTGCTGCACTCAGAACCCAGAGGAATAATAACAATACTACTTATTGCTACATAACGGCTCAAATTAGTGAAGAGTTAATATTATTGAATTTTCTGGTTGTTAGTAGTTGCTACTAGTCTACAATGGAAATCAATTCAGTAGGTGATGATAGAAATGACAGTAACTTTATTGAAGGTGGTTGTATAATAACCATGTTTATTCCACACAGCTGAAATGATGATGAATTAGGGTGTTGAATAAAGGCTCCGATAATTTCTTAAGCCACATAGTTTTATTGAAAGACCTTTATTTTTTAATCCTTTACGTTCCCAGTGAAACATAGGGGTTCAAGCATGAGCTTTGAAGCTTCGGTAGCAGTGATGTTTATTTTTACAGGATGGAGTTGCTAGTCTCTTGCCCGACCTTCTCTCTTTACTAGTTTTAGTACTGGCTTAGCGAGGTTAAGGAGTGCGTTGGCCGCCACATGCGTAGTTGGCGAGTATTCTGCCGTTGAACCACCGATGGACAAGACCTCTATAAATCACATATATTTTTTAAAGACCATATATATATACATAAATCCCAGAGAAAATGAAATAAATAATTCCAACATTTCGTTAGGCAAGCTGGTCCGAAGGTCTGCAGGGAAATAATCAAAATTGAAAATTACAATATCAAAGGTATATTCTGTCTTTAAAACTGTTGTCCAATCATGTCTCAGTCATGAATAGTCATCACAAAAGCGAACCTTAATGAACTGTAATCAAGATTTGATCGGATATTTCCACAAACTATTATTATTAGTTTATTTTGTTATACACTAAACACTGTGTACATTTTACATCAGTCTTAAGCGATAGTGTTGGAATAAACGTCACGATGACCTGGCACTTTATTTCGTATATGCAATTCTTTCGGTTCTTGTGCAAAAAATACACTCTTATATCATAATTGTTAAGAATGCTCTTCATTTCGTCCGACGTTTCTTTACAACAAGGAATCACCACCGTACTGACCCGATTCTTAGCACTTGGATCTCAATTAGTGTGGAACTATTCGATCAAATCTTAATCAGATTTCGTGCAAATCACACGTATAATTTGCCCCAAAAAATGCTTTGCATAGGATAACATACTTTAACAACGTGAATGTAGTAACTTGTGGTCGCTCCTGTTTCCCGAAGTTTGCTAAATTACGCTTTGCAAACAGTATTTACTTGGGTCATATATCTGAGAACGCATACTCTTGTTATATTGCCATTTAACCCCCCCCCCCTTACACTTACTTTTATTAAATATTTCTGAGTTAGGCATTTATAAAAACTGTTGCTCAGTTCCTATCTCTTCATGGCTTCGAATATTACTACACTGATAGTAAGAACAAATCACTATCATAGGGCGAGATTTGACAGAGGTTACTTCCCCACTTATCTAGGGAGCATCGTTTCAACTACAGGCGGGCAGAACGAATGAAGATATCCAAACCAGATAGAATCGAAAAGGCAAGATGCGTCTTCCTCAACCTGAAACCAGTTTGGAAATCGCATGGACACCACAGCATAAAGAACAAGATTCGAATTCTCAACACAATTGTCAGATGAGTGAGTTCGTTTGTACGGGTCAGAAACCTGCAATATGAGTAACGAAAAGCATTTCCAACAAGTTAGATAATTTTATCAACAGATGCCTGCCTTTACTGGCTGGCTCCATACTGAAGATCGAATGGCCTGCTGGCCAGAAGGAATTAGCGATAAGAAACTCTGGCTGGCAACAAACCAAGCAGGAGCTGATTGCTCAACAAATATGTAGGAGAAAAAAGGAGATGGATTGGGTATACGCTGAGGGGACCGTCTAATTACATCGCGCGCAATACAGGCCATTGCTCGAGTGGAATCCAAATGGAAAGTGACAGACGGGTCATCCCTGGGTGACATGAAGATAGTGTGAGTTGGAGGAGGAGATAAGAGATTATGGGGAGTCGTGCACCCAGGCAGCTGAAGAGGACAGCAGAAAATAGAACAAAGCAGAAATGTGTAATTGAAGACTTGCGTTCCACTTGGAATCCAAGGGAATAATAATAACATAACATTGCAAATAATTTCGCTTGTTCAGTTTATGTTATTCTATTAAACCATGAAATCTGATGGTATTTCCTATTCTCGAGAGCATTTGAAATGTTGACAACCTGCTAATTCACAAGTTTCTATTAAACTTGAGAAAAGCAAAACTGTGGACTACAACGTGTTCCAATATATACCATAACTGCCCCCGAAACCTTTTGTACACACTGTTACTGCTTAAGAAATATAACTGATTAACTGCAGTCTTCAATTATTCAGCGATTATTATCTCTCTGGTTCAAAAAAATCTGGCTTTAAAGCAGATGCTGTACATTTTTTCGACGTAGGCAGAGAAAAATATCTTGATAAGGGGATTGGTTTTCGCTTCAGGTCAGACAACAATGTGTCACGCTATCTACTGTGACAGTTACTATATTCCTTGAAGATTGTAGACGAAGAGAAATTATCTTACAATAATTTCTGCTGAAAAATCTGTACATTAAAATAAACACTGTTTAGAATAAATCTATTATTATGATTTTTATTATTATTAAACATTAATCATAACACTGATATCTATAAACAAAAATCAACTCACTTCAGAATCAATTATTGGTGAAGAATTAATAGTAATACTACCTAATTCAACTTCATCACGCATCTTTGATGACATATGAAGAGTTTGTAATCGATCATAGATTTGTTTAGTCATCTTGTATGCACCTAATGACCGACCATGTTTAGCTAAAGTATACAAGACTGCACTGAATGTAGAATTAAAAGTAAATGACCAGAGTTTTATAAGTTAAGGAAGAATGATTTAATGGTGGTTTAACAATACAACTAAAAAGATCATATGCAAAATTAAATAGAGCGCTTTCTATTACAGTCACACCATTTGACGTATTTACTTAGCGTCTGCATACTTAAATGTACAGATTCACTAACTTCATCGTTAAGGAAAAATAAACTTGCTGAAGTCTGTTACACTTATTATAGTGAGGGAGATTGCAGCATTTTCGTATTGGTTGGTAGGGATTTGATTCATTGGCTACACGATTTCATCATGAGCTGACATCGGTCTGAGGACTATTGGAAAACCTGGGAGTAATGGACAGCTGTTTTGTCAGCCCAGCTCGGGACTCCTCATCACTATGCTCCCTCCGCCAGGGTTCCAACCCAGGACCTTCTAGTTACAAGGCAAGCTCATATACCATTGAGCCACTGGAACCCGATCTAATGTCCGGTCCATGAATTCCAACTTCTGCCAATTCACGACATGGCGCGATCGCTAGCCAGTTTCATCTACGAGAAATGGTTTAAGAGCTCGCCTTGTAAACAGAAGGTCCTGGGTTTGAACCCCGGTTGTTCGTATTGCTGAAGAGTTCGAAACTGGGGGGCAAAAGACCTGTCCAGTACTCCCAGGTTATACAATGGTTCTCTAACTGATGTCAGTTCATGATGAAATCCTGTAACCAATCAATCATATCCCTAAAAACCAATGCTTGAATATCAATGAGATGCTCCCTAGCGACTGGCCCTATTCAGGTAGGTAGTTACCTGGGGTTCCAGTGGGAAGTCGTGACCAGTGGGGTGCAGCATGTCGGTTGTGATGACAAATAATCGCCAAAGACATTGGCTAGCGGTCGTGCTATGTCGTGGACAGAATTAATTATTGGTAGCTCGATAAACAGGCGAAATACCGCTACCAATATGTATTAGAATCCCAGTTTGCGCATATCTTCAGATATTGTGCTTCTTTGTCTTTCTTTCATGTTTTCTATGTTGTTTCACCAGCATCCTTCATTAAATCCATTTGTCTCTTATTCCATATTCTTGCAGATAATATATCTATTTACATCTTATATATACTACTTAGAAATCTTGTCAGTAGTAAACGTCAAAATACGATATTTTAAGTTGTCACGATTAAAATAGTAATAAAAATCATAAGACATTTAGATAACAGGCCAAGTTAAACTTTAAGCACCACTGACTACCAATCAGCGAATGACCTTGAATGGTTCAATGAATTTCATCTACGTGAGTTGATTCGAGTCAAAGGCTTCCACTAACACAGTTACGTTTGCAGTTTGGATAAAGTTTTCCAGTATGCTTGGATGTGGCGTTGCTTAGGATGGAAAGGATTCGTTCATGTTGATGTGTCGTGAGTATAAAAAGCTTCAACAGGTCGATTGATTGATATGTCCATCGTTGTGCAATTTGTTTGAGACGAGTCAGTGTTAGAGAAGGTAAGCTGATGATTCTAATATTTCGTAGGAATATTTTTTGCTAGGTCCCATCTTTCCCTAACCCAGATTTTGTCAACAGTTTGTAACTACTGTGTTCTAAAACAGCCTGTGAGGAGTACAGCTGCTGAAACTGAAAATGGCCTCGTATCATCAGTTCAGTGGTACCAGCACTGCAGAGACATCGCGTCAAGGAAAATGGAGAGAATTATTTCGTTATTGGGAGAAGGTGTCATCGTGCATGTGGATGAAACTGTCTTATTGAATAAAAAATACAACCATGGTCGTGAGCGAGTAAACAATGGTTGGGTGATTGGCTTATATGACACCTCTTTACAGAAAGTATTCGTCAAGAGGATAGCAGACAGAAAGCCAACTACCTTAATACCAACTATCGCTCGACTTGTGAAACAGGGATCTATAATACACACCAATGAGTGGAAAGGTTATAACTCCCTGTCATCCCTTGGATATATTCATCACAGAGTGAATCATTCTAATGATTTTGTGCATCCCACTACAGGGACACGCACCAGTTCTATAGAAGGCTTTTGGGGATTAAGGCTACAAATAGATCTCAAAAGGATGTCATTTATAGTCATTTGGATGAATATATGTATACGATGTGGTGTAACTCCTATGCTAAACTGGGAGATGTTTCTATCACATGTCAGAGAAAGATGCCCTATGTAACAGTTTTATGCAGTTTTTATGCATTTTTTCATAAATATATGCTTTTCATAACCAAAAATGTCTCTTTCATGTGATTGGTTCGTTGAAGGTCGTTCGCTGATTGGTAGTTAGTGGTGCTTAAAGTTTAACTTTACCAGATAACATCTTAGACAAAAGAAACTAGGACACAGTGGATAGGATAACTTGGTACATGATGTCAACCAACAGTCTTCTCACCGAATTTCCAATCGATCTCCATTTTCTTCTACACATTTGTTAAGCTATAGATTCTTGGATGGTTCTTTTCTAGAGCTGCTTGTTCCAATCGCGAATGGAGTCATAGCTGCTTATGATGAGTAGTCACAGCCTAGGACGAAGCAGCTACCCAGCAATTCCTAGTTTGCATCAGCTCTCCCCAAATGATGTCACCACATGACCCAATTTGAAACTGATCTAATCCCTCCAAATCAATCAACACTTATAAATCAAAGAATTCTATTGAACAATGAATAAATTATGCATTGAAAAAAGGATACGCTCTTGAAACTTCTGGAATTTCACCGAATTGTAAAATATGCGCTAAATACCGTGCCATATTGAAATAGGTTTCAGGCATATGTGAAGCAAACGGTTCATGCTAAAAAGAATAATAATTAATTAAAACAAATAATTAAAGATAGTAGAATCAAAATAAATACTCGGCTAGTACGTGAACGACAAGCTGCCGAATCGGTCCAAATCAACATACATATACCAATTACCTAGCTCCTGCACTCAGCATAAAGAACAAGATTAGGATTTTCAATAAAGATGTGAAGGCAATCAGTTCTTCTATGGGTCAGAAACTTGCACTGCGTGTCACGAAAAGGGTTTCCAACAGGCTACTGTAGACTTTTATCAACGGCTGCCACCTTCACTGGCGGGCTCCATACTGAAGATTATATGGCCGGCTGGCCAGAGAGAATCAGAAACAAGAAACTCTGACTGGGAACAAACCAACCAAGAGCCTATTGCTCAAAAAATATGTAGGAGGAAACGGAGATGGATTGGGCATATGTTGGGAGGCCGTCGAATAACATCCCGTGCATTGCAGGCTCATTGCTGGAGTGGAATCCGACTGGGGAGCGATGAGTGGGTCGTTCGAGGGTGACATGGAGCAGATCATCCGAAGAGGGGATGAGAGATTGTGGGCAGTCGTGGACCCAGATGAAAAGGATAGCAGAAACTAGAACAAAGTGGAGATGTTCAAGTATTGGTTTTTGTAGGAAAGTTTTGTTTGAATGGTTGGAAGGTTTCATCATGAGCTGACATCCTACAACCAATCAAACAAAATCTCTACAAATACTCACTAGCGACTGGTTTATTCAAGCAGTGGCCTGGGGTTCTAGTGGGAAACCGTGACTAGTAGGGTACAGGAAGTTGGAGTTGACGCGGTAATTCACCAAACAAGACATTGAGAAGTGGTCGCGATATTCATGGAATGGCGGAAGTTCACCTAGAAACTGAAAGATGACTTATCAAACCTTAGCTCTTCCTCATGTATAGACCACTTCAGCTGTTCCTGTGATTCAAACTGTGTAGTGCGTCAGGTCAGGCAGATTGGTCTACGGATTCGAGAACACCTACTAGTTTGGTTCAGCAGTGGGGAAATCAAATGCTTAAAACGTTCGATGCTATTACACTTGATTGATACAAGATATCACATCAACGCCAACATTGCCTTCAGGATTATATACCACATTCCAAAGTCATTATCACGCACAGTTTGCCTGCGTCTTCTACATATAACTGAAGTTGTTGCAATAAGATCGACTAAACCAGAACTTTGTATTCAAAAAGAACACGTTCAGGCTTTGTTCCCACCATGGTCAATTCCTTCTTTCCTATAAGAGTGTCTCTTCCTATAATCCTCTTTTCTCTCTTATTATTATTACTTATTACTATTTATTGTAATTTATACCCTTCATTCAAACATTCTCTGAGTACTATCAAATTTCCATTTGTACCCTTTCGACCTTATTCTTTTGGCGCAAGGATATTCATCGTGCTGAAGTTTCTGTAGCAACTTTGTTTACAGGGTGGGGTTGCTAGCCTCACGCCTGAGAAGGGGATTGTTACATTAAATTATAGTTTAGAGAGAAGCGACCTTGTGGGTTGCTCCCCTTAAAACCAGGAAAACAAGGAATAAAACAATCAGAATAACACCAGTACGGGAAAATAATTCACACCAAGAAGGGTAAGAAGCGACAACAACAATAATAATATCACAGTCAAGTACAATTAACCAAAATGATACCTTATTATTAATAATACTATCTATTTTCTCAATATATACCTCCACCTATCTCAATTCAGGTATTGGTTATTTCATGATGAACTTCTTATTGCTATCTTGCTATCTCTTTGATACATACTACTTTGTACTAGCCACTCCATCACCCGACAGCTTTTATAACCTTGAACTGACTTGTCAATTTTTCCTACCCCACATTGTATGAATCTACTATGACTAATCACCATTGTCTCCTATTTCACAATATTTTGTGATTGAATTCAGCCTAGCACGTGTGTCACACAAATACTATTTATTTTGACAACCCATAACTAATCTGTTATTCTACGTAAAAATATATCCGCCGCATAACTGGCCATCACTGTTACTACAACAAATATCCTATTTTATAATTGTAAGAACATGAAGCGAATTTATTGGAAAGAACATTCTTCGTTCAGACTGAGTTTTAATTCGTAACATGGGAATATTTTACACTAATATTATTATTTATTATTGTTCCCTTGGGTTCCGAGTGGAACATAGGGCTTCAACAACACATCTCCACTTTGTTCTGTTTTCTGCCGTCTTCTTCAGCTGGGTCCACGATTAGCCACTCTGTTTCTCATCTCTTCCTGACACGATCTCCTCCATGTCACCCTCACACCAACGACCCACTCGTCGCTTCCCATTGAGATTTCACTTGACGGCCTGGCGTGCGATGTCATTTGGCGGCCTCCTCAACGTATGCCATATCCATCTCCATTTTCTTCTACAAATTTGTTGAGCAATCGGCTCTGGATTGATTTGTTCCCACAGTTTCTTGTTACTAATTCCTTCTGGCCAGCCGGCCATTTGATCTTCAGTATGGAGCCAGCCAGCAAAGGCAGGCAGCTGTTGATGAAAGTCTGCAACCTGTTGGAAATCCTTTTCGTTACATGCAGTGCAAGTTTCTGACCCGTATAGAAGGACCAACTTGACAATGGTGTTGAGAATTCGAATCTTGTTCCTTATGTTGAGTGTAGAAAACTTCTAAAGTTGTTTCAGGTTGATGAAGTCTTATAACAGAGAAACAATATTCGCTCTAAGTAGTTAAAGGAAACACAAATGGTGCTTTAAACCAGTATTCATCAACTTTTCACTAAATTTAACCTTTTATTTTATTTTTTATTTCAACGGATAACTTTTACCCTCTAATACTAAATAGGATTACTATTTTACTAAAATGGAAGACGCACATATCATCGAAGTGACATGCAAACACATTCGTTTGAAGCAATAATTCTTATCCTTAGGTAATACACTCTATCATTACTATTATTATTGTTATTAATATTAATTATGTAAGAACTTTGTTGAACAGAAAGCTTCTACTCGGGGAGAAAAACTGTCACCAATAAAATGTCCTATTAGATGGAATATTGCACGATGAAAATAAGAGGAAAACGATACGACTAATGCTTCCAGATGTACGCAACAGCTTGACGATAATTACATTCCTCCTTTGATACTAACAATACGTAAATCAACAAGAACCTTTAAAACACACCCACTGATTCACTTCAGTTTCTTTTTTTTTCCTTCACGTTCCCCAGTGGAACATAGGGCTTCAAGCTAGTGGCCTGAAGTTTCTGTAGCAGTGTTTATTTTACAGGATGAGGTTGCTAGCCTCATGCCCAACCTTTCCTCTTCACCAGCATTATTTCTGGCCTCGCGAGGTAAAGGAATGCGTCGGCCGGAGATCGAACCCCGGACCATGTGCATGGTCGGCGAGCGTCCTAACCGCTGTACCACCGACGATTCAGTGGTTATTATGAATTTGAAGAAAATTTGTCAAGTATTAGTATATACTACTAATAAGTTAAATGGTAGTAGTACTTACCAGAAAACGATATATGTTATTATAAACATAATAAACATCAGCTTTTCTTTGAAAATTATAATATTTATCTAATAAATCATGATACTTCTTTGTACCTAAAATATAAAATCATAAAGTGAGTTATTTGATCGGGGAAAGGATTTATGTGAAGTATGAAAACAACTGTCAATAGAAGCCTTTAGTTTTGTTTTGTTTGCTCTGAGCTGTGTGCGGTTTAATTACGGACATTTCATTATCCTTGTAGACATCATCTTCAGTGCTACCTTCTGTATGAAGTGAGTTTCTGGCATTATCCATGGTACTCTTCTCATTGTACTCTAACCAGTCTATACTCAACAGATTAATCAATAAAGAGTAAGTCACCAAATCAAACGCATTAGTGGTTCAGGGGTAGAATGCTCGCCAGGCACGCCTCACGTAGTCCAGGGTTTGATCCGTGGTGGACGCACTCCTAAATGATGTCAGCTGATAATGAAATCCTCCAACCAATCAAACAAAACTCTACAAAACTAATACTTGAAAATTATGAGATACATACTATCAAAAGGTTAAACATTAGGTCAATCAAACCATCAGTACCAATACAAATGGCGATAATGACAACAAAATCTCTGGAAACAACCAGTCACAGTGAAATTCATCAGAAGAAACAGTTATAGCATTTATAAAGAAATTCCAAAAACTCAATTCACACTGAAGTTAGCACTGAAAATGGTCTCTATCAAAAGAACGATGAAAGCTTTGAAATTAAACCACCCAGTTTCTGGAACAACACTAGAAACATCCATCTGTACTACAAGTCTTCATTATTTCAGGGTTATTACACTTCTACATCGAAATATGGACATTTTTATTGAATTTATTTCCCATAGCACAACTTCTTAAGGCATCTTTATTGAGTGGAAATGACAAACAATAATCAGGATCAATGTCTTAAACTTCTAATCACAAGTCACCGTCGTCGAAGTTCACCATGTCTAGTGTGAAGCGGATGAGCACCATTGGAAGTGGTTGGTGGTTGTGCTTTATATCGAATTGAGAGAAGTTAGGATTTTTGGGTAAAAGGATTGCAACTCTGTAACTAAATGTTCCAATGGGCTTGCCTCGTAACTTCAAAGCTCCAGGTCCGATCTCCCATGAGGTCGTGGGTCTTAAATTAGGTTGAGACAACTGTCCAGTGCCCGTCATCTTTATGACGGTTCTCTAGTTGACGTCAGTTCGTGATAAACCCTACGCTAGAATTAATCGAAATCCCTAAAACGTTTGAATATCACTCATTCCCAAATGTTTCACCAAGTATTTGAATTAAGTGCAATTTGATTCAAAGTCCACAATAACTTAATCCGTGTACAATAGTTTATCGTGTAATCCAGTCCAGTCCATAGGTTTTATATTCAACTGCGGATAACACACTTCCATCAGCCGTTTCATGGGTTAATAATGATATTATTACTAGGACCATATGCAGTTATTAAATAGCACTGATTACTGTTTAAATTACGTACAGTAAAAAGGCATCTAAGTATATAAAATATTTCCAAGAAATAGGCATAACATATTAAGAGTTGATTGGATGGAGGATTTCATCATGAGCTGAAATCAGTTAGAGAAACACTGGAAAACCTGCAGTGAGTACTGGACAGCTGCTTCGTCAGCCTAGTTTGGGACTGACTCTTCATCAGTATGCACCCACCGAAGTTCGCACCCAGGACCTTCTGGTTACAAGGCAAGCTCGTAGACCATTTAGCCACTGGGATCCGATCCAATGGTCAGCCCATGAATTCTAACTTCTGCCAATTCACGACATAGCGCGACAATTTCGTAATGTAGGGTACAGCAGGTTGAAGATGAGGCAGTAACTCATCGAAGGAGATATTGCAAAATTGTCGCGCTATGTCGTGAATTGGCAGAAGTTAGAATTCATGGGCTGACCATTGGATCGGGTCCCAGTGGCTCAATGGTCTACGAGCTTGCCTTGTAACCAGAAGGTCCTGGGTTCGAACCTCGGTGGGTGCGTACTGCTGAAGAATCAGTCCCAAACTAGGCTGACGAAGCAGCTGTCCAGTACTCACTGCAGGTTTTCCAGTGTTTCTCTAACTGATTTCAGCTCATGATGAAATCCTCCATCCAATCAAATAAAATCCCTACAAAACCAATACTTGAATATTAAGAGTTGGTAAAGCCAAATGTTTCGGTACCACGAGTAGTTTTAATCAACAATATTTGAATAGAATTTTTATTCATACAGTGTACACCTTCATAACTATACATGTATATATAGAGTCAGTAGTCAACATCAATTTCATCCGAATCCGTGAGATTTCAGCGGTGCATATGAATGCAAACTTAAGTCTTCGTGTCATGATGTGAGAACGTTAAAATAAAGCCATGAAACGTAATTTCTGTCGACTCGTCGAAACCTCGAAAAATCTGTTTCAAAGCTAGTTACTCATGACAAGTACAGCTGACTTTAATGTAAATCTCACAACCGACATTAAGATACGCTAATAGTAAGACTGTAGAGAGACTATCCTTTTACTGGAAGATGAATTGCTGTAATCGTTACATGTCGTATGTTTTGTGGTAGTAAATTATCACCAGTTTGTTCAGATTCCGTTCTTTAACAGCGGTGTTAACTGTGGTGCAACACTTTCAAATGAGTGCTGTTGAAGAGTTTTAAGGTGGGACGAAACAGGTGTGCAGCACTAACTTGTTTTCAATGGTTCTCTAACTCATATCAATCCGTGGTCAAACTTGAAACCAATGGATTCCTTACACACTAACTCTTGAAAATTAATCTTATGCTCACTAATAACTAATTACGGGAAGAACTTGTCTAAAGTTCTAATGAGAATTCGTGAACAGTGGGGTTCACCAGGTCGGGTATGAGGACGAATACTGGCCAGTGCCATTGGCTGGTGGTTTACGCTAAAATCACGAACTGGTAGAAGTTGGAATTCACGGGCCACCATTGAACTGGGTCCCACTGGCTGAATGGTCTGAAAGCTTGCTTGTAGCAGGAAGGTGTCCTGGGGTTTGAACCACGTGGGTGCGGGCTGCTGCAGAGTCCCAGAGTGGAATGAAGCTGCTATCCACTAATCTCTGATCTTCACTTGTTGTCGAACTGACATATATCCGTGAGCAAGCTTGAAATAAATCAAAGCCCTACAAACTAACTACTCAGTTTTTATTTAAAAAACCTACTTCTGAGAAATTTACACCATAAGTACTCAACTGAGTAGCATACACCAACATCATCCAACTATTAAATGCGTGGATTGCTTTTTTTCGAAACAATAGAATAATATGATGTTAGATAAATCACCAGCTACTAACTCTGAACTTCTTGGAAATAGTCACTTCACTATATTCTTAATAGACGTGTATAATAAATATTATATTTTAGAAAAAGAAATATATAAAAAACTAGGCATATATTTTACTTGTTTCATTTTTCAACATATCCAAGCATAAAGCAGATAATTTCCAATAATAAAATCCAGCATCATCGAAACGTGATTCTTTAGCAGCACAAGTGGCTAATTGTTCCAGTACAGAGATGGCTTCATTTTGTAAACCAGCCTTAATAAATGCTTTTATTTTTTGGTAAGTGATAAATACAGAGAAAAGTAGAAAAGGTTAGTTTAGTATTAAAATAAAATTATGAATAATTGCAACAAACTACTATATAATTCATCAGTAGTATTAATTCAAAATTCAAAAAATGATCACAGTTCATTAGTGGTACATGAAGATTCATGATGAGTTTGGGATTTGTTCTGAGGATGAAATGGAAGAGATCATGTTATGAGGTAATGTTACCTTATAGGTGGTTGTTAGGCTAGCTGAAGAGGACTGAGGAGAACAGGACAAAAATGAGGTGTGCCGTTGAAGCCCTATGTCCCACTAGGAACCAAAGGGAAAAATTATTAGTAATAATGAGAAGATTCATAGGCGAAACTGTTCGGTTATATCGTTTGCATTTTCATAACACTGAGGTGATGACTGTTATCACAAACGATGCAGTCTATAACAATAACTGAAAGGAATAGGATCTGGGGTTCCACTTAATCATTTAAAAAAAGACAGAATGTAACTGGTGAAAAGAAACATTTCTCTTTTCAGTAAACTCGTCAACTTGGCTGTATATTCGTGGATATGTTGTAAAAGTGTCAGAAAATTCCGGAAATGGAAATTCTCAGTAAATGGTCAAAATACAGGAAGTTATGCAATGCGAATAAAGATTGTAATAAATAAAGCGATCACGGAATATACACATTAGATCAGGGGCGGCTGCAGTGAAGAAAATCTTTTTTTCCTTCGAAGCCATCAGCTACCCTGTACATTCATGAGTATATAACAAAAAGGAGTGAGAAAGTTTCAGAACTATTTCCAGTCAAAGGTCAGATTATAACGAATAACAAGATGAAATGATTCAATACAAATAGGGACAAGAAAACTAAACCGGTTGGTGGGGGGTTGTATTAAAAGCATTATCAGATAATAATTACTGAGAAAATGGACTATTTGGATACAAAGAGTGCCTGAGGTCTGCCGAATTGTCTTGATCTCATTGTCTTTAAGAGGTTTGTTCGGATCTTATATGGGACATTTTAAGGATTTCTCAAATGGAGCTCAATGTCCTAATTTCATCAGATGTTCTGTTAATGAGCTATAAACACACCTATGTTAACCGGGCTGAAAAAGTTTCCCGAGGGTGTTTACAACTGGCTAATGTGCTCAGCTGAACTGACATTTGCATGCAGATGTGACCCAGTGGGACAGCTTGTCTTTCATTTGCTGGCTGAATAGTTTCTTGCAAGAAAAGGCTGTCAACGAAGTATATTTTATTTAATTTAGTTTAGATTTTTCCGTGGATTGACTGGAGTGAAGTGTTCAATCTCAGGTTGACACATCGGCTACCTGTGCAGATGCTTCGACGATGTCTGGTCATGTAACTTGAAGTCAGTTGGTGGATGGTGACTGGCAAAGGTATCCAGGATGCTCATTTAGTCCAATCAATCAACAGAAAAATCTAAATTAAATTAAATATTTAATAAAACCCATTGCACAAAAGGTGGCTCTCGTGGTCCATGTGGTCTAGTGTATGAAGCTTTCGCGTTTGAGACTGTGGGCACTGGGTTTGAGCCTCGGTGGGAAAATCATCACTCACTAGGACATGCAGGTACATGCAGTTGACGAGTCCAAAATAGGACGAAATCAGCATCCTGAATTCCACTGCTAGTTACCATCCACCAGTTAACTTGAAATATGTTTTACTCAGCGATTTTAAAGACCGCTTTTAAAATATTTCTTATTCAGTGTAGCTTTCACTTCAATAAACTTCGAGCAGCTAACTCAGATTCAACAATGAAATCTTCTTATTATATTTATGATTACTACAACTAATACTTTATGCAACTAACTGCCAACCATATCGGCGAAAAGTTCTAGCTTCTGCTTGACTTACACTCACTTTAATACAGGAGAATAAACATCTCATTATCGAAAAAAAGTAAAATTTAATGTGATACTACTGAGTTCTGATGTGTTTCTTCCCTCCTCAGAAGTTAAAAGTTACGCATGATGAGTAAAGCATAAAGTGTTTCTCACCTGCTTGAGCTTCTTCAAATTTGTCATTTTCAGCCAACCAGTGGGCATACGGTAGATATACTTTCTCCGTATAGTCACGATGTTTCTCAGCTAAACTAAAAGCCTTTAAAATTTAAACAGATTTTTTAAAAATATACAAATTCTGATAAATAAAAGTTATTTGTGTTTACATGTGTCTGTTTTTCAAATGTTTACATTTCTTTTTCTATTCCTTTACGTTCCAAGTGGAACACAGGTTTTCAATCTAGAGGCCTGAATTTTCTGTAGCAATGGTGTTTATTTTTACAGGATGGGGTTGCTAGCCACCTCCTGCCCAACCTTCTCTTTTTACCAGTCTTACTATTGGCTTAGTGAGGTAAAGGAGTGCGTCGGTGGCCGGAGATAGAGCCCCAGACCACCTGCGTGATCGGCGAGCACTCTACCGCTGTGCCACCGACGTACTAGAAGTTTACATACAATAAATTAATTCATTAGGCTTTTTTATATTTCTATGGCATGCAGAATGTAAGATGAAACAACATCTCAAAGAGCTTTGTCTTTCAGTAGTACATCGGTCAACTCAGATCTCTGATAGAAGCATACTTTTTAAATATGTGAGTTTGTGGTACAGCGGTAGAGTGATCACTAGCCACATTTGGAAGTCAGGGGTGGGTTCCATTTCTTAATGACGCGCTTTTAAATCTAGTCTGTTGAAAGCCTGGAAGGAAGGCCGGACAACCTAAAACCCATAATAAAACAATATTATTGACACTAAAACTTAAAAAGCTTGAAACCTTATATCCACTCGGAACGCGAAAAAGTAAAACATGTAAAAGCATAAAAGATATATAGAATTTCAGTGTTTAGATATCGTCACGAATCAACATCAGCTACAGAGATCATTGAAAACCACAGACTATCGGGCATAATCTAAATATCAATCTCCAACTGTTTGATAGATACTGGATAAATCTCCCGAAGCTGTTGTGAGAACTCGTGACCAGTGACCACTCCACCACGTCAAGGTGAAGTGGATGCGCATTGTAAAGCATTAGTTGAGGGTGGTTCTATATCATGAACTGACCGAGTTAAAATTCACGGGTCATCATCTTCTGGTCCAAGTTGTTGAATGTTCAAAGGGTTTGGTCTAGTAACCTGAAGGACCCTAGTTCTATCTCTGGTGAGAATGCTTGCATTCATTACAAGTATTCATTTCATTTGGTCTTAGTGTATGTAAGTAGTAAGTGCTTTTAATTTGTTAACAAACTTTGGCTGTTGATTCAACAAAGTGAAAATACGTAAATTATTTTAGGTATTGATATTTTATGTAGGAATATATATAATATATCATTAAATCATAAACTACCTAGATAGGATATGCTAAATAAGTTAGTATCTTCAAAACTATAAACTTTGTTGGTTTTATTCATAAACGTTTAATTCAAAATGTTGAATTAGTCATTGTTTTGTGATTTGTATTAGAAACATGAATTTCTCAACTGTAGGAATTCCTACCAGCATATATATCAAACATTTTGAAGCTAAAGATCACATAGCCGGCCAGAAATTAACAACAAGGGACTCTGGGAACGAGACAACCAAGAACCCATTCCACAACAAATATTTCGAAGAAAATGGAGATGGATTGGACAAATGCCGAGGAGATCATCGAATGACATCACGTGGCAGACAGTCCCTCAAGTCATGGGTCTCTGGATGATATGGAGGAGATCGTCTTAGGAGGAGATGAAAGCTTGTGGGCAGTCGTGGAGCCAGTTATTTAAGACTACACAGAACAGGATGAAATGGAGATGTGTTGTTGAAGCCCTATGTTCCATTCAGAAGCCAAGGGAATAATGATAATAGTACTTCGAACGTTCATCAGGATAGATTTCTCTTGAAGCACATGAACGCTTATTAGTGGCTTACAAACAAACCTTATTCCCACATATCAGTATGATAAAACACAAAAATTGCTCAACTATCAAAGCAGAAATAAAATCAGTGTATTGAATTGATTCTCAGTAAAACTTACTTCCTCCCAATTGTGTGATTCCACGTATAAGTTTAACTGATTTTCAATATCACCATATTTAGCATAACAGTCAGCTGCAAAGGCGTATTCACCAAGTCGAGCTAAACTTCTTGCACAACGTTCTAGATATTCATGATCCCCTTTGTCTAGACGTCGACTAATATCCAATAGGCTAATTTAAAGTGAAGAAATGAAAATCATTCTGCGTTAACCTTCACATAAAATCCAAATATATAAATTTTTTTATCCAAAATTAGTTTGTAGGGATTGTCTGTGTGCTCAGGTTAAACCATGGATTGATATCAGGGAGTACTGGACAGCTGTTTCATCCTAGTTTGGGATTCATAGGCAGTACGCACCCACTAGGTTTCGAACCCCGAGCCTTCTGGTTACAAGACAAGCTCGTAGACTATTTAGCCACTGAGACTCGATCCAGCGACCCATGAATTCTAACTTCTACTAATTCGTGATTTTAGTGCGACCGCCAACCAATGTCATCGGCGGGAACTCCATCCTCACTCCCGAATGGATGGACATATAAGTACGGAAATAAGTACGTGCCTGACAGTGAGAGTTGTTTGTCCAGTCTCCAGTCTTAACATCGCCATCAATCGTTCCCTGTGTTTTCTCATTTTTAATAATTAGTTCACTATTATCACTCTCATATGTTCCTTTTGTACACTTTCTCACCCTCTTCACACTTGCTGAATGAACACTCAACTACCCCTCTTCTCAGTCAATAAAAGGTTTAACCTTGTCAAATTTCTAACGCTTTCTTCCTCCGCGAGTCTGAGTATTACGTAGCTTTTTAATTTTTCTTTTGAAGACACTTCTGAGTAATTATATCAATTATGTCACCCTTCTTCCCTATTACTCCATAATGGACTACTATACGTTTTTGGTAAATATAAATACGACTGTAAAGCCTCTGAAGAGGATTTCATCGATAAAGAAAATTTTCTTCGTTGAATTATCCTTTATTTTCTTTATTGAGAAGTCTTACCAAATAAGACTTATATCATTGACATTATCAGTTACGTAAGTAATCTTTTTTCGATACTCAGTCGGTTAGCAAAACAAAACTAGGTGTACTAATGAAATTAACCCTAACTAACTTCTGAGACTCATGGATTGCCTTGTTACCACGGAATACTCTCGTTGATTTAGAATATGCGGATGATATAGTCCTTCTAGGTGAAGACGCTGAAAAAATGCAGATCTTCTGAACGCCTTGAGCTGAAATCTTCGAATGTTTGGCATGCGATTCGCTCCTGTCAGATGAAAGATGAAGCTACAGGACTGGACTACATTGACTCCTGGCCTAGAAATAGGGAGTGAAGTGGTAGAGCACGTTGACCACTTCACTTATTTGGGAAGTTGCATCAGCCTGTGCCAACGGGTTGATCGCTGACGAAGTCTCAGCACAGATACAGAAGGCTCGTTTCGCATATGCCAGATCACGCTGTCTCTGGCGTAGACGTGATATCCGGCTGGCTGTCAACCAAAGGGCGTGTGTACTGCTCAGCAGTCCGCTCCGTCCTCCTTTATGGCTGTAAGTGAGACATGGCCATTGAAAGTGGAAGAAATGAAAAGGCTCGCTAGCTGTCTTTGATCAGAGGTGTCTGCGTTCTGTCTCCCGTGTGTGTTAGGTTGTATAACAAGGTGAGCAATAGTGAGGTTAGGCGTCGGTCGAGTGCTAGGTAAGGAGGGGAAGTCAATGGACGAGGCTTTGAAGTTACACCGATTGAGATGGTTAGGACATGTGTGACGTATACCTGCTTAGCCATCGCCTTCCTCGACGGGCAGTGTTAGCTGACATAGGATACATCAGGTTGGAAAACAGCCAGTGGTGGTCAATCAAAACATGGCCTCATCGGTCAATGAAATCCACAACAGTTAGTTTAAGCCAAGTAGAAAGGTGTAGATAAGCTTCCTGGTTGGGGTCCTCGGGATGGTAAAAGCCAATGAAGGTTGGCTCAAAATTGTTCTCAATGGCTCAGATGCATCCGCTCCCTGTGACTTATAATATCCAATAAAACTATATGGTTCTTCGATATTACTATTCTTTTTGCCTCATATCTCTGTTTACTGTCTCTGTTTTTCATTTCTTTTTACTTTCTTCTCTTGCTTTGTTTGCTAAGTGAAGTGTGGCGACTCGAACTGCTGCACATCGATGCAAAGTTCTATGTTGAAAACAATGAGTCAGTCAGCCAGCAGAACAGAACGACATCATTGAAATAAAAGTAAACCCAAAGTGAATTTTGACTTCAAATGGTTTAATGTATTCATTTTCAAAATTTATTTAAAACTTTGTCAGCATAAAACAAAAAGGAAATGATATTTCAACATCTAACCCAATATCTAGACCACTTCTAATACTGAACACTCAAGAAAAAACTTACATATCAGTCCATCCATGTTGATCAGATAATTCAATAGCTTTTATATATTCACCTGCATCAATATACATTTTAGCTGCTGATCTATGCTCATTTGTTGATTTCGCCCAATCGGCATGTTTAGCCAATAATAATTTACGTTCCCCGGTATCATCACCACTAGCTGTCATTGCTTCACGTGCTTCCTCGAAACGACGTAGATCAGTGTACATGTCAATTATTTTATGATTACCACCTGAATTTGCTCCAGCTCGAGTATAATAACCAGCTGCTTCAGTGAAATATCCTAAATAAGCTGAAATATCACCTAAAGCAATCAAAGTATTTGAATTGGCGATTGGTTCTTTATCGCTCCATTCTCCTCTTTTATATCTTTCCTAAATAAGGTATAAAAAAGTAGCAATTGTTTATGAAGACTGACGATTTCGTTGTATTACTGCTGAAACACTAACAACATTATTAAGTTCAGGTAGGTAGTTACCTGGGGTTCTAGTGAGAAGTCGTGACCAGTAGGGTGCAGCAGGTCGGGTGTGAGGACAAATACTCGCCGAAGACATTGGCTAGGGGTCGCGCTATGTCGTGAATTGGCAGAAGTAAGAATTCATGGGCTGACAATTGGATCGGGTCTCAGTGGCTCAATGGTCTACGATCTCGCCTTGTAACCAGAAGGTCCTGGGTTCGAATCCCGGTGGGTGCGTACTGATGAAGAGTCACAAACTAGGACGAAACAGTTTTCCAGTACTCCTAGGTTTTCCAATGGTTCTCTAACTAATGTCAGCTCATGATGAAAATCCTGCAAGTTTTTTTCTTTTTATTCCCTCACGTTCCCAGTGGAACGTAGGTCTTCAAGTTAGAGGCTTGAAGTTTCTGTAGCAGTGTTTATTTTTTTACAGGATGGGGTTGCTAGCCGCATGCCCAACCTTTCCTCTATACCAGCTTTATTACTGGCTTAGCGAGATAAACGAGTGCGTCGGCCGGAGATCGAACCCCGGACCATGTGCATGGTCGGCGAGCGTCCTAACCACTGTGCCACCGACGCACACATTGTTAAGTATTTAATCCAATTTAGACTTTTCCATTGATTACTTGGACCCAAGTGCTCGGCTTCAGGTTGACATGTCGTCTCCTTGTATAGATGCCTCTACGATGTCTGATTATTTAACTTGAAGTAAACTGGTCGATGGTGACTAACAGTGGAATCCAGGATGCACATTTCATCCAATTTGAGACCCATCACCAGATGTACTTGGATTATGCAGTGAACTAGTGAATCCACCAGTTTTTGTATTGGTTCCACAGGATCCTTTAACCGACAAAGCTTGTTTCTAACTGATTTTTTGGTTCAAAATACCACTGTTACTCATATATATTGGTTCTCTAACTGATGTCAGTTCATGATGAAATCCTTCAACTGATTAAACAAAATCCCTACAAACCAATACTTGATTACAGTTTCTCACACACTTTGATTTATTTTACTATTAACTGACACTGACCTCTGACCTTTGTTGTCAATTAAAAATGTACATACAAACACCCCCTCCCCAAATAACTGTATATCTGTGAAGTGAAATTAGGAAAATAGATAACTTTGTTAATTTACGCGATGATAACTTCATCACATGGGAATACTTTTTTCGTGCAGAAACATTATTTAGCTAGAAATTCAAGCCTCTTCGAATGTTGGGATACTTAAACACTTCCGTCTAGATATATTGCATCTAATTTATCGCGTTTCATTTGTCTTTATATATTAAAGTATAACGTCAAATCGTATTATTTACTCTCGAAAAGTTTTAAAATGTTTAAGACCACCAAATGACTTTTATGTGTTTAACTAAGAAACAGTAAGACGGAGGTTAGCAATGCTCGACCATTAAATCGCACACCTATATATCGTATAACTGTTCCTGTTATCCTTAGTATCAACTGCTGTTCTCTGCCCAACAAGATTATGTATCTGCAGTCTCTCTTAACCTCTGATACTTATCACAATGCGGCTATAATCACTCAGCAAGAAACTTAGCTTCACGAGCTTTATGGTGACAGTCTGGTCTCAATAAGTGGTTTCACATTATTCCGACAAGATCGATTTTATTCCAAAAAGAAATGTGGCGGTGGAGTTGTGACGTTTATTCATTCCCAGCATGTATAAATGTATGATTCACATTGTCGAGTGACTTTATTGATTATATTACTGTTGAATGTCATCCCAAACACCTATCAACCAATAAACACATTTTTAGAGAGAAGACAAGTACTTCAGCGAAGGGTCTCTTTTCAGCGAATTCATTTTCTTAGATGTACAATCGTAATTATATATGGATTATTTTGTATGTGTGTACAGTAAGTTTGTCAAATAAAAATACAATTGGTTATGGTCATTTTAACCTAAACAGGTGAAACTTAGTAAGTTTTGGGTGGAGTTAAGTAATAGAAAAACGGTCAAAAAAATTAGGTGATAATGAAACTAAGGTAGTGGCAAAGGTGATGAATTGTCACAAACAGTTGTTAAAAAGGAGTTACGTAGTAATGTGAATAGTTTGATGATTGAATTGTACTCAGGATGCACATCAAAACAAAGTAGAGAATACTAGATTACGTAAGAGTTCTAAATGAATACAGAAACACACTGCCATTGGTAGATTTTTGTTTACTTAGTAAATGACTCTAAATGATGAGTCAGTTGAGATGTTGTGGCAGGTATTGACGAGGTGTTCATTTATGGCGCTTCTAGTTGAACCAGTGCTTCCTCTTTGCAGACATCCTGGATGATGTTCTCTAACACGTTTTGATAAGATTATTATTATTTAAAAAAAAAAATCCGCATAATCGAGAGACACATAAATTCCTGTACAAAGTGGGCAAAGGCCGTACTGTCAGACCCTCTGCACCCTCTTTATTCACAACTATCCCCTTGTATCTCATCAGGTAGGACGAGAAGTCAATATAAAAAGTTATATGCTCAAACCACTAAGTACAAAAATTCTACAATACCGTATTTAGCCCGCATATTATGTGATGAAGACTCTGTTAGACATGAAACATATAAGTTACTATGTAGTTAGCAAAGTGAATCGACCCTTTCATTGTTCACCTTTCTGTATTTTTATGGTGTCACCCTTTCTATCGTTTAATTATAACTTTGCTATTTTTGTTTTAGTTGTTATTGCCATTATTACTATAATTTTATACTTTATGCGTATTTTTATCCTTATCGTATACTGTAATTGCTACATAGCTGCTGTAAAAACGTTTTTTATCATTATTATGTAATGTTTATTAATTTTATTTGCTTTTGTTTGCTCTTTTTGTCGTTTTTGAGTAAATTAGATGCAATATTGTACTGAATGCTGAAAATTCCTTGTTGTATCATTAGTACTGTTTTTGGAATAAAGCAAATTATTATTATAATTATGTACCTAGCTCCGCACGAGCAGGTGAACTAACATTATGCACATTGAAGTGGTTATATGCCAAAATCTGTCCTTCACGTTGCTCCGAGGTGATGGGCGGCTAGAGAATATCACTCTTAGAGTTGCTGAAGGAAAAGTCTCCTTCAGGGAATTGAAGATTTTCCTTTAAAGGATATCTGCTGCTAGGTCTCCAGTGAATTCCAAATTCAAATAAAGTGTTTTCTTTGGCACTGAAGTGCATTCTTCCCATTTTGCCTTTGGTTTCATGTTCTTCTCCACGAAACGCGGTGGGTATTCATTTTGAGCCAGGATGCTTTTGAGAAATAGGAGCTCTTCTTCTAAACAGTCATCGCTACAAATTCTTACGGTACAGTGGGCCAGAGAGATGATGAGAGCTCTTTTACGACTGATAGGTATCCAACTGTAGAAGTTTTTCAGTTGGCCAAGAATTATAAGCAATTAAAGAAACAGGCAAACAAACAAAATTAAGTCATCAAAAATCAACAAAGTTGTTACGATGATAGTAAAAGTGATTGAGTAATTCTCTTTTGTGTGCACAGCTCCGGTTTTTCTAGGTGAATGACTAGAGCTTCAACGATACAAAGAAGACGAAACCGTATTGCTTCTGGTAGGTTATTCTTGACTTTGTAGATTACTTTGAAGCAGGAGGCGTTTGTTGAGATGGAATGATCAGTGTTAACTAGGTGTTCAATTATTGTACTCCTTACAGCACCACTATCGCCCTTGCGTAAACATGCTGGATAGTGTTCTTGAATCCTCCTGGATAGGATGCGCGTCGAACGACCGATGCACCTTGCTCCACAGCAGCAGGTGAACTGATATATGCACACAGAATAACCCATATATATATTTGCGATTATACAGCTAAGAAAATCAACTCACCAAAAAGAGACTCTTCGCTGAACTACATTTTTTCTCTTTATTAACTTTGAAGTCTCCTATCTAGATATAACTATCAGACAATACTTACTGCACCAGAATAACAAGGCTTGTTCACTGAAAGTGGTAAACTTAGGGATATGCTTTAACACTACTCAGTAATACATTCAGAAAAATGAGAAAACTTACTTCCAACTGTTGAATAAACGTCAGCATGAGTATATCTTCCAACTGCATGTAAGCGTATTTTGCCACCTAAGTAAAAGAAATTCAGTGAAAATAAGCATCACTGTAACTTATTGACCACGATGTCAGTAGAAACAGAATTCTCTCACTGGTTATTAAGCATTAAGCATAGTCCTGAAATGCTTCTAGATTAAATTCTTTTCAAAGCCAAGTTTAATTCATTCAGGAACTTACACAATGAGTTTTACGGGTTATCCATCTGAAAGTGATATAATCTAAGGTGAATTTATAAAAATTCAATAGACGAGAGGACATCGGAAAATCTGTAGCAATCACACTGATAAAAAAGCAATCGCTAATTAAGAACGGTGTGGTCTTAACTGCCGTAGAACCATTTGCTGGTGTATGCTCGAATGCTTTCCACAACAGAAAACTTTTCAGGCTGCTAGCTATTTCTTTGTTATTCCCTTGGGTTCCAAGAAGAACATAGGGCTTCAGCAGCACATCTCCACTTCCCTCTACTGTCCGCGGTCCTCTTTAGCTGCCTTCAGGATTGCTCATAAGCTCTTATCTCCTCTTCACACGATCTCCTCCATATCACTCAAGTACCCACACCCAACTCACCATTTCCCATTCGGGTTCCACTATACGGCCTAGTGCGTGATATCACTCAGTAGTGTTTACAGCGTCTGCCCGATTCATTTCCACTTTCTTCGATATATTTATTAGGTGGTAGCTTCTTGATTAGTTCATTGACAGATCTGATCTTCAGAACTGAGCCAGGGAAGACAGCTGTTGATAAAAATCCGAAGCTTGTTTGAATTACTTTTGGTGATCCGTGCACCAACTCTCTTAATCATGTAGGAGAACTGACTTTACATTAGTATTGAAGATCCGAGTCTTGTTCTTTATGCGAATCTTGCAGCAGATTTTCAAAATGACTTCGGATTAATGGACGTCTGTCTTGCTTTGGGCCATGGATATTGGCTCATTTGCAATGGGTATTAGTTGTAATTATTTAAGTTGTTTTATGTTTCCCATCGTCTTATTCATAATGGACTGAAATGTTTGTTCTCGGTTAACTTATTGCTTCCTTGTACAAGATATAGTGACTTCTGGATGGAAATAGTTCTGGAACTTTCTCACTCCTTTATTATTTATTTCATTTCTACTCATTGTTACTGTTCTTAACTTGACTTTCTTTCAATTTTAATTGAATTGTACTCAATCCCGTCAATTATTATTTTGTGGTGAGAGCTGTCTGCTAGCCAAAATTGGTAGACAGCAATTTACATCAATGTTTACGTCCCAAATCTTGGTCATGAGAAAAAACAATAACAAAGCTTAACCTTGAGGAATTCAACAACCAATCACAGCAGACTTAGCGTGGGCGGATACAGTTCGCAGATATATGGTCTGACCTTCAAAGATACGGCCACAAAGAGATGACAGAGTAAATTCCAGTGAGAAAACGACCAATCAGAAGACATTGTTTCTCTGCTAATAATAACGAATAATAATGTAAATAAAAATATATAAATATCTGTTGATTTTCTCAATAAACAATCTGTTGCCTGGCCCTTGTCTTCTGTCGTTACAATATTACGTCACTTAGTTTATTTGCTTAATTTTATTTCAGTTTCTACCCGACTAATACTCCTTGTGTGACATAAGCATTGTCTAAATATTACAGTTCTACTGACAAATCTTTAGAAATATTTCTTTTGTTGTTAAGACAATTCACTATAAATATGCGTTTGTACAGCTTGAGAATGGCATCTCTGAAAAGAGTGACTCTTCGATTGGACACTAATTAACTGGTGTTATGTGTCTAGTCCTTTGTTTCCTACAGACTGAATTCTATCAGTCAAGTTTGAAATGTGACCAGGATTCTAGGTGGCTGGCCATCACGGTGCACTATGAATTACTGAGATTAGATGGTTGGAGGAGATAGTGAGGAAGCCATGAACCTAAGTTTTGTGCTTGTCGGGACTCAGCAGTCAACAAGGCGTATCTGCAAACTTAAAGGAGCACATACCCCTTTTTTGGACAGTCGAACGCGTGTCACCCAGTGCTGCAGTCAAACACAATACCACTGAACTGAACGTCTTTTCAGCGAGGATTTTTAATTGACATACGAAGAAGCAAACATCAAAAACATAAAAATTGATCAGAAATCGTCATCCTTTCAGATTTATAAAATATCTTACTATTTAATTTATCCACTATATACATAGAATTTTCTTTTATTAAAAAAGTGAAGAATAAATTTTAATTTACCTTTAGATTAAGCTTGTTTAAAGCAATTCGTCCCATAACTTTCCAATCAGGATCAGTAAGTCCATAACATGCAAGTTGATAGGCTTCAGTTAACTGACCAGCGCCTAAATAATGATACACGGCTGGACATAATGAAATCTCTACACGATTGATAATGTTTTCATGTAAACAATAGACTAGGGAACCTGTAAACCACAGTGTTGTACCCTGTAAAATAAATGGGATGAAAGAAAAAAATGCTCGCTTAAATGAGAAAACGGAATTTTCAAGAGTTAGTTTGTAAGCATTTGATATCAGTTAGAGAACAATTGGAAACCACTAGGGAGTGTACTGTTTCGTCCTAGTTTTGGACTCATCAACAGTACGCACCCACCAGGGTTCGAATCCAGGACTTTCTGCTAATAAGGTGAGCTCATACACCATTCAGACACTGGCCATCACATTCACTTATTTAATTTTTTAAATATGTAAGCAACTTTCATCCCACTGATGTTTGAAGAAAAAGAATTTTCCTAGTGACTTTCATCATAGGCAAAGTCACGAAGGATAACTAGTGAAAATCATGACTCTGTTCAAGAGATCAAGATTGTGATGTGTCAAGCCAATCAATGTTCACTCCAACTTTCCAACTTCTACCAATTCTGCTTATAAGACTAGACAACCCTAGGCTGTGATTTCCTAGCTGAAGAAGCCAGCATGAGGGAACGACTGTTCAGTATTCATCAGTTTTTGATGGCTTTCCAGCTGATCTTGACCACTATTATCGAATATTTTTTATTTGATGGAGAAACACAGTAATAGAGTAGTATTCGAACACAACTTAACGCTCATAATCATATCACAACTGCTCACAAGCCTTCATTCCCTCCTCAGAGCATTTCCAATCCATCTCCATTTTCTCCTACATATTTGTTGAGCAATCGGATCTTGGTTGTTTTGTTCATCGCCACAGTTTCTCGTTGTTAATTCTTTCTGGCAGACCGGACATTTGATTTTCAGTATGAAGTGCAAGTTTCTGTCCCGCAGAGAAGAACTGACTGACTGACTTCACATTTGTATTGAAAATCTAAATCTTGTTATTTGTGCTGGCTGGCTGGCTGGCTGGCTGAGTTAAACAAAAGATTTTCAAACTGGTTTTAGGTTGATGAAGGAATATCTTGCCTTTCCGATTCTGGTTGGCTGGCTTTGACATCTTCATCCGTCCCACCTCTAGTTGAAACGATGCTTCTTAGATAAGTGAAGGCAAGAAGCAACCTCTGTCAAATCTCTCCTGTTGATGGTAACTGGTACTGGTTGTTGTTGCTGTTGATTGGTTATATTCATCACCTCCGTCTTCTCCATGTTCATCTGGAGTCAGTCCTGTCTCCTATTCATTGCTTCTTCAGCCAGTTTGTTGGCTTTCGCATGCAAGTCTTCGCGTTTGTGTGACATTAGACATAAATTATCCAAATGTAAAATCCAGATCTTCTAGAGTCTTCTTATCCGTGATCCAGCGTATTGCTGTCTCCCCGCTCCCAACGCATAGTCTGACATATAATCCAGACCACCATCCTCGGTGATAATAGTCAGCCAGCCAGCCTTGTCTTACTCCTGCATTCACTTAGAACGCCTCGCTGAGTTTCCTGCTGTGGATCACCTGACACATGCCACTACCATATGGCCATCTGTTGAATGAGGTTGATAAGGACTTGTTCACTACACACCGTAGTGTTGAAGTAGTTTCCTAATTACTTGGCGGCCAAAACTGTTGATCTTTTTGAAGTCGATGAAGTTTAGGTAGAGGTTTGACTGCCATTCTATGTTTTATTCTGTGATGATGATGCGCAGACAGTTATTACCTAGTATCCAATAAAATCAAGCCTTCCTTCATAACTCGTTGAAACGTGTATGTTACAGTGATGCTGAACCGTAAACAACAATACTCCGCCTTTATTCATTGCAGTTAAATAATGATAGTATACTATTATTATTACTATTGTTCCTTTGGGTTCTGAGTGGAACATAGGGCTTCATCAGGAACGGAATAGATTGCTGACTCTCCAGTTGACAATTTCAATACACCACATCCCTTCCATCTACTGTCTCAGATTCTGAGCACTACTATGTAGTATTTCCTCATTTCTTTGGCTACCTTTACAGCCTTCCCAGGTTAGTATATTGTATGAACATCCCACATCCCTATTCTTATTTTTGCTTTCATCGAAAGAAGATACATCGGCTGGTTGACTGGCTTCCCAAAAGGTTTCAGCAGCCCACATCATTTCGTCTCTCCGATTCCAGTAAAAAAATAAGTTTGTTTTTTATATACATTCAAAATTTTTCTTGTGCTCTGAAGTTTATTTAGCAGTTGTGACTGATTTTGCAGAGTAGGGTCGCTAGTACCAAGCCCAACTCCCCTCTTTTTCTGGGGCTTGAAACCGGCAGATAATATGCAGTTAAGACTTTTTAAGATCTTAACAACACCAGATTTTCACACAGGTACTGGAGTAGTGATTGATGTGAGAATGTAGAATTGTTGTATACTAGAGAACACTGACCAGGTGACTTTCTGTTTTAGTTACCAAATTTCACATGTTAATGTTCGACTTTGTAATATATTCATTCTGAAATGAAAAATAACTCACTGTATTTTAATGTTGAATTATAACAGTTTAAATTGACTACATTTGGGGACCGACTTTCTTTAGCTTCAAAAAATTCATCTGAGCATGGAATTATTCGTCAAGAAAATGTATACTTTTCGAGTTTAATTCTAAGAGACTAAGAACAGAATGTGTTAAAGAGTTTCAAGCCAACTGGGAAAAGAAAACACTTGCTCAAAAACTTTTACAATCACTGTTGAAATAATAGACTACCTTAGTATACTGACTATGACTTGGGAATTGTCCATTTTTGATAAATAATAAGTCATTACCACTGTAGGCCAGTAAATCATTATTAGTTGTACTCCAAGCCATACTACGCACATTTGGTTCCTGGAGAGGAAAAAAGGAAGTTTTTAAATAAGTAATAACTGCAAATATTCAAGTTATTTCTTTCCATGACAATTCACTTACTCAAACTTTGATTTTTTTCGGCATTACATCAACTGCCACACTGTTACATCAGCATACTTACCTAATACACCTATCCCTCGCTTCACAATTAACCTTTGTCTACTACAAAATGACTGAATTTTCCACTCTGTTTATTACTTCAACTTCTGTGCATGGCTTAACACACAGATCAGCCTATCTGCCTCTGTGACAGACCAGTTCACTTACTGTTACTCTGGTTATACATTTGATGTGGTTTTGTTCTCTGAGCTGAATGGTTAATTTGTGAAGCTTTCATCGCCCTACTAGGTGACATCTTCAGTGTATACTTCAATTTGATGAAGTGAACTTGTAGATTTCTCCACGAGTTTATTACTCATCTCTCCTGGTGACCATCTTGAACGTGATTGGTTGGTTTTGTGTGTTTTCACACCCTCTAGGCTACTTGTATTGGTACTGATTGTTTCTTGACCTGAACTTTGACCCTTTGTGTATGAGATTTTCTTCTTATCGATTGGTAAATTTTGTATATGTCAGTGTGTCTATTGATTGATGATTTACTGGAATACCAGCCTGTCTTCTAAAAATTCTCTGACATTCTTGGTGTTTCCTCTGTCTAATATTTGAACGTTGTCCCAGTTGAATTGACGTCCATGGTTGTCTGTATGTAGTGATGTGAGGGAGTGAATGTAATGTCTTCTGACGGCTAGTTTAGGAACATGGATACGAAGACGAAGGGGATGTCCACTTTTCGCAGTTGTTACAATTTATTTTGTAGATGATGTTGGTTTTATCCTCTTTCGCTGTTGAGTCTTTTGGTTGACATAGAACTGAACATTCTATCAAGAATTATTCCATGATAAATAAATAAACGACAACATAAAATCAAACAATCATCATTTCAATTGCCTGAAGCTGTGCGTTGATGTCCTCAGACTTTACAGACCAATTCGTCTTGATGGAAAACTAGCATAGAATGATATAATTCTGCTGTTATGGAGCAATAAAATATTTCGTAAACAAGTTTGTCAGAGCTAGTGGATATTATATAGTTGGAGGCAGTCGGCAGGAAGCTTTGCATCCAGGTTTTGGGCTAGTTGGTACTCGCCAGCAAGGCGTATCTGCAACCCTGAAGGAACCTAGCTTCCTGCCGACCGCCTCCAACCATGTAATACCAACGATTCAAAGTGCACCGTGATGGTGAGCTACCTAGTGGAATGTCGGCCACATTGCAAACTTTATCGATAGAATTCAGTCTGTAGCAAACAAAGGACTAGGCACACTACACTAGTCACCGACTAGTATGCAATTAACGTTTGTCAGAGTTCATTGATTTTTGCAGCAGACAGTTGAGTGTTTTTTATACAGAAACTGACCTAGTGATCTGAGCTAAAATTTAAAGAAAGTAGTTGTAGGAAGGAGATTACTGACAGTGGCGGAATGGAGACTAATACAACATGCTACAATTGCGACTCTGATAGGGAGGAACTCAAAACACATATTTCTTCCAAATGAGAAAGATTATTAAGATTGTATATGACATCCTAATTGAAAACAGCTATCCAGAGAAGTTCATCAAGAAACACATGGAAAAAAGAGCAGAAAAAGACTTTTCTCCATCTATATATAACAAGCCTTTATATATATGACTGCAATTCAAGAGTGAAATAATTACTAACAAGTTAAGAAAATCTATCCATTAAAGAAACTTTTAATTCTGGTGAACTAAAAGTCGTGTAGAAGACACGACTAATGGTGATTCTTCAATTGAAAGATGAAGTACCTAGGCTAACTAACCACTTCCAACTGTTTCTACTAAGTCAACTGCGTTTGTGAAGAAAGTTATATTGACCGTTTCTCTAGGAACTTGATTTTTCGTGCTCGCTCGGGAACACCTACCAGTGTGGCAAAGTAAAGGCGTAGTAAAAACTATCAACAGTTTGCTATTAGACCACCTGGTCCAAAGTAACCACAAAACCAGCACTGAAGAATACTTCTCTATCGTCTATTGGGTACGAAACATCCAGGTGCCGCATCCTCCAAACAGAAGAGGCCATCGCAATTAGCATGAAACAGCCAGTGCTTTGAGTGCAAAAGGAGCAAGTCCTGCCACTACTACTGCCCGGGAGACAGTGAATTTTATGAATTTGTATTATTATCTTTCCTAATTTCTCTGATATTCAGTGTGTAGTGTTATGTTGATGCTATCGAACTGTAATCCACTGATATTATTATTGATTCGATGTTATTTAAACAACATTAATGTTGTTCATAACACTAATTCATTCATTCACTATAATGTATATATAACTGTAGAGCCTGATGATGAAGTTATCGAAAACAGTATTCTTTATTCAGTAACCATTCTTTTCTAAAAAATTGTAATGGGTATTTTTATTCAGTTTAAATTTCACTTAGTTTTTCTAGTAACACATTTCTACAGGGCACTTTTACATAGTTTCTCGACTCGTTTCCTTTTATTCTCCCTGTAGTATATTACTGAACATTGTGGCATCAAGGTTATTTCAGTCGTATAACCTTCATTCAAAATAACCTAATCAAAAGTGTGCCTGATATTACTACTTATTTTAAAAAAAGAAAGATACTAACAAAAGCTATGAAGAGATTCGAAAACACAGAAACTAACCTGAAATAATATCTCTTTAGTATCTAGTGAAAATACACTCATAGTTCCATTATCATCAAGTGCGGCAAGTTTATCTCGATTTCTGCTTATATCTACAGCTGATATTCCATTCATCAGTTTAGTCAAAACCATAGGAAATGTGTTATCTAAGACGATTTGAATCACCTGCAGATAAAATGCAGAATTAAAGAATTAAAAAGTCACTGTGCACAAACTTAGTAAGTAATTATTGACTACAGCTCACTACCCAATCATCTTAACTTAATAAACTGACATTTTCGTCAGTCAATTATTGTGTGTAAGACAATACAGCCATAAAATGTAATATTACTCACTAGAAAGAGGTGAAATGATAAGATTTTGATAATTTGTCTGTGTATATGCATCAATTGAGTGTTAATTTTGAAATGAGAATTGTTTTTTCAATACAACTGACAGATTCGTACAACGAATTCACGACAAGGTTCAACTACCAGCACCACAACAACAGCAACGAGTGCTGCTACAGCTACTTGTACTAATCGAAGACAAAGAACTACACGTAATACCGTAGGTATAAGTTCTTCTGACACATCAACCAGTCGTACTCGTCATCTTCGGGGAAGACCTCCTCCTTCTTCTTGTTAAACTACAACTACCACAACTACTAGTATCACAACTTCTAGAACAATATCAGCCACTACTAGTACTGTGACAGTGTCTTTTGCTAGTCGTCGTACAAATACTGTGGCTAGTAAACGAAATCAAGGGAATGTGTTGAATTCAAATTCTGGTCAGTCAAGCACTGCTTCGCTTACGTCGGCTGTTGCTCAGTCGATTGACAGTAGATGCAATCAAAATGAACTAACATCAAATCCACACAATGCGCAAGCGAACACCAAGTGTTCTAATGGAGTCAGTGAGGTTAGTTGCTTAGCCATTAAAAATCATCTAAACATTTTCATTTTACTAAAGATTTGAAAAGGCTAGCTGTATTTGATCATAGGTGTCTGCGTTCTATCTCCCGTATGAAGTAGTATAATAGGGTTAGCAATATTGATGTTAGGCACTGGTCAAGTGCTGGGTAAGGAGGGGAAATCAATAGACGAGGCTGTGAAGTTACATTGACTGAGATGGTTAGGACATGTGTTACGCATACCAGCAAGCCATCGCCTTTCTCGATAATGGGCAATGTTAGCTAGCTGACATAGGGTGGATCAGGTTGGAAATGAGGAAGCTAGTGGTGGTCAAACCAAAACATGGCTTCATCAGTCAATGAAATCCACAACAGTTAGCTTAGGCCAACCATGTAGGAAGGTTGTGGTCCTCGGGACGCTAAACGCCAATGGCTGGAGACAACTGGCAATATGCCTCAAAATCGTTCTCAATGGCGCAGATGCATCCACTCCTTGTGACTTATAATACCCAGTAAAACTATACGGTTCTTCGACATTACTATTCTTTTTGCCTTATATCCCTGTTTACTGTCTCTATTTTCCATTTCTTTTTACTTTCTTCTCTTGCTTTGTGTGCTACATGGAGTGTGGCGACTTGAACTGCTGCACATCGGTGCAAAATTCTATGTCGAAAACAGACAGACAGATAGTCTAACGTGGAATAAGGCCATTATTATAACTTTTGCAATGGTAGAAGATGAAAGACATGGTAAAGGAATGTTTATTTTGGATTCGGTATCACTATAAAGCCGAATTATGTACATCCTTTTCTTCAAATCACCATTTGAACAGATCTTCCTTGTTGTGCCGTTTCTGGCCTTCCTTTATATTGGGTCTCTTTGTGTTCCTTTCACGTCTCCCATGTATCTCTACAACGTTGTATCATTTACTTTCTCTGACATAAAATCTATCCCCCTCCTATTCGATGTGTTTTATGCTGACGAACATGTCTTCATATGTATATATACTACTTATAAATCTTATCAGTAGTACACACCACACTAATAATACTCTTTGTACAGCTTTGTGATTAAGTCATCCGTTCTTTTATCGAAAACTTAACAATTTCAACTGGACAGAGAAATGTGGTAATTAGTTAAGTAAATACCATGAAGTAGAATGACTTACTTGTCCATTTTTCAATCCTAGGAGTAGACATTCTTTATTTTGTAGACCACCTATTATACGAAGACATTTCACGGGACTGTCAACTATCCATTCACGTTCTTTAATACCCTGAATAGAAAAGAAGAGTTATTAGAGTGGCTGCTCAACTCTGAACAACTACTGTGTGAATTTGAGTTCTTTCATATATTAAGAAAGTTATGACCTTCTTCCCCTCTGTTTGTCTGGAAGTTTATCATCATTTAGAATGATTAGTGTTCAATCCATTTTATGACTTGCCACATTTAGCCACATATTTTTGGCCTAGTTTTTCTTACTACTCACAATACATAAGTAGTACTGTCACTGTCAATTTTTGTTTCCCATCATCGAATACCGAAGGAGCTACCACCATTATATCATTTTTCAATGTAAATTCCAGAGCGCCCCAGGAGTGCAGATGCTCAGGTGACCTTGAATGCATGCTACTGGTTGGCTGAAGAAACTTACAATTATTCCACATCAGAAAATGAGCTCTGTTCAATAGCTCAGGTGCAAATTGCACCCAGATCACGTATTTCAATACTCTCTGGATAATGGATTGATAGGACGTGTTTGGATATGCTTCAATGAGCCTGCAACAGATATCACAAGTCATTGATGGATATATATTGAGATGCACAGGGTGTAGGAAACGAGCTAATGTTCTTACTGGTAAGTGACACTATCAGTTAATTGTCTTCTAGGAACTTTCTTTGACGAATATACTGTTTGCCATTGCTGGAATTTGAAGTCCGGAGTGAGGTCAGTTACCGCTCAGATAGAAAATACGTTGACGTCTACTGCGCAATGGTTTCAGTTTTGTAGGGATTTAGCATCATGGAAAATGAACAATATTACACAAGTGTTGGAAGGAGTCGTACACATCGACCAAACAGTGCTTATAAAGAAGAAATACAATCTCGGACGTGCTAGAGCGAATAACGTTTGGGTATTTGGAATTTATGACACCCGAATTCAGAAACGATTCATTGAACTTATGCCACACAGGAGTGCCGATACTCTTCTGTCTATTATTCAGAGACTCGTTTCGCCTGGTACTACTATACACACGGATGAATGGGCAGGATATAACCGATTATCGGATTTAGGATATATATACAACAGAATTAACTATTCCGATGATTTCGTCGATTCCAGAACAGACACTCATACTAATTCAATAGAGGGTTTCTGGGAAGATTAAAAAATAGAATAAGAGCTTTAAATGGCTCTCAAAACCAAGTTATTTTTAGTCGCCTGGATGAATATATGTATAGGAATTGGTTTAGTTTAAAAACTGACACTCCCCATTATAAATGGGACATATTTTTACTTCATATCAGAGAAAAATACCCTGTTTTATACTTTTTCGTGCTTTTCTATGTAAATATACGTATATTTTTGTGCAAAAATCCCCCACTTTTCTGATTGGTCGGCTCAAGGTCACTCATGCGTTCGTATCCCTTGGGACGCTCTGTTGTAGAACTTTGCCAATTCCAGTGTACTAGTTCACAACTACGCAGACAATAATATTATTATGGAACAACTAGGAGGTAGGAATTCTTGTTATATTATTCCATAAGCTGGCAGCAAACGCCGAATCCAGATCTATTGTAGATTAGTACTCACCATCAATAATCCTGATTCACTTCACCATACAGTTTTATGGCTATCAGATATCTCGAGACGTAAGATATATCCAGCCAGCTAATCAATAACTCTGACACTTAAGTTCAACCGCAGTATTAACTGATCGATAGAATTCTATCAATACTGGCGTTTGAAGTGTATCTGCATTAGACAGGTTTACTTAATAAAACACATAGTTATGATACAGTATTACAAATTGAATGACATTTTGAGCAGAGTCTATTGCTCATAGTCATATTAATGCATTAACCGCACATAGAGAAGGAATATCAAAGTCTCCATGTAGGATTCTTAATAAGGTTAGAATTAGGGTGGTATGTAAACCAACCAACTAACTCTCACCCAGAGACAAACCCTCCTGGCTTAAAGACTCAATAAATTCAATTAGGAATTGGATGATTGTGAGGTCATTTACATAGGCAGGGTCATCTGGATTATCAGAAGATAGGAATTTAACCAGGGCTAGAATGATTGACCCCGCCAAGTTAGATCATCTAGAAGGAAGCTCATCCATTGGGATTCACCCACAAACAATAGGTTGCGACAGAGTAAAAGTATTTAAAAGTACTATAGTTAAGTGGTGAGAGAAAAAGAGAGACTGTGGTGAGAGCTGTCTGCTAGTCAAAATTTGTGCACAGCAATTTACGTCAGTGTTTACGTCCCAAATCTTAGTCATGAGAAAAAGAAACAAGAACAAAGACTAAATCAACAACCAATCGCATCAGACTTGGCGTAGGCGGATACAATTCGCAAATATATGGTCTGACCTTCAAAGAGATGACAGAATAAATTCGAGTGAGAAAACGACGAATCAGAAGACATTGTTTCTCTGCTAATAATAACGAATAATAATGCACATGAAAATATATAAATATCTGTTGATTTTCTCAATAAACAGTCTGTTGCCTGGCCCTTGTCTCCTGTCGTTACAAGACTAATCACAGGATCTTTCTCCATCGAATCAACACGAAATACGTGCAATCCAAATGACCCAGCTCGCATCTAAGTTATAGGCATAAATCGCAATGAAAGCCAGAAGGAAGTGTTAATATACTAATAGAATTATGAGCAATAAAATGTGATTAAAATGTCAAACATTTACTAATACTTTATCGCTGTGTGTAACATCAAATAAAATTCACTATTGTGGAATTATATTATTATATTATATGGAATCACGGATTTCAAATCCTACTGGGTCACGAAGTTTGTACTATTATGTGTCTTTCAAGTGACCTGTCGACCAACAGAATCCCTTCATAATTTCGATTAAATGAGAAGATAATCATACATATATATCAGAAACAATGAAACTTCATTTCCATCAATGATCATAATCACATTCTACACATCAAAGGAGAGCATGAGATATTTTCAAATAACTCACCTGGAAATTGATACACGTTAAACAAGATTCATAACAAATAATCAGACTGTTTGTAACTATGGCTAAATGATGACAATCGAAATTTTGGGTTAATTTCTCACGAACTCGATAATGCATATCTCTGAGATCATCACTAGGTGATTCATAAATTAAAATTTTATCTGAAAGCTGAATCTACAAAAGAATTGAAAAAAAATACATTTAACATTGAATGACTAGATAAAATTAAAATGTTGCTTCTATTAAAGCTGAATATTTTCCCTTTACAACAGCGAACTACTTAAATCTTGTGAGTAATACTGTTTTGTTCGTTTGAAGCCGAGCTTATCAATGGTATATCCAAGCGACGACAATATTATTCCCCTAGTTTCCAAGGGGAACATAGGACTCCAACAAAACGTTTCATGCTGTTCTCTGCTGCCGTCTTTATCTGACCCCACGATTGCTCGTAGGCCTTCATCCCTTCCTCACACCATCCCGTTGGACCTCCTATCCATCTTTTCCCATTAAGCTTCCACTCGAAAGCCTGGTGTGCCCCAGTTCTCGCGGAGGCCCAAGTTGCCCTTTTTTGTAGTTTGATAAAGTAGCCTTTCTTCCAATCAGTAGACATCTTTCCTTCCTTCTAAATGTTTGGCAATACTGGCGTTGGCATATCCGCTGCACTCTGTGGGTCGTTTTTCAGTGCTTCAGGAGGAATTCTGTCCAGTGTGTGACTAGCCTACATTCAAGACATTTGCTTTTGTTGGGGGATTGGTGTTCGCTGGTGGTATTTCTGGACTGGTTTCAGGTGATGTTCAATTCAAAAGTCCTTCAAAGTGATCAGCCCGACGTTTCTTTCGCTTCTCCTCTTTGGTAATTAGATCCCTTTGACCATCTTTAATTGGTCTCACCTATGTTGATTAATTTCCAGAATGAGACTTAGTTATCTGACATAGTGTTCTGAGGTCTCTTCGGCTTTCTGTGGCTCTTGTTTTGTATTTGGGAAAGACCTGCATCTGTATAGCTTCATAACGGTATTGTTGAGGTAATTTTGGCCTTTGATATTCTATTAGTAGTATTAAGTAGTATAGTAAAATTTTACTGCAAATAACTGTCATTTTATTATCGTCAGGACATTTTTGGACTGTGAGTAACTCTCAAAGAAGTTTTGTTTATCTGCATGGTCGAACGCAAAGATTGGTTTCCAGCGTTCAGAACTCAACACGTAGATTTTGGTAGATAAATATGCTTCAAACAGGAGGCAGTTGGATAGTATAGTCAGCTCCCGCTAAATATGTGTGGATCATAACTTGATACATAAAGTAATTTTGTTCCATGTAACACAATTCTAACCAAATCGAAAAACACTGACTTTCGAAGTTAATTGGTGAATTGTGACTATCAGTGGAATCCAGTATGCGCATTTCGTCCTATTTGGGGCTCGTCATTGGATGTACCTACAATCCGCAGTGTAATGATTTTCCCACCGAGGCTCGAACCCAGTGCCCATAGTTTCAAACGCCAAGGCCTTATCCACTAGACCACCTAGGCCACGAGAGCCACCTCTTGTGCAACGGGTCATATTAATTATTTAATTCAATAGCCACCATCCACCAATTAACTTCTAAGTATCAGCACAAGAAGCCGACATGTCAACCTGAGACTGAGCACTTCAATTGAATCAATCGACGGGAAAATCTAAAATTCAGTTAAATACCCTGACTTCATTTCTAACTTATTGAATTATAAAGCGCGCCACCACGCCAAAACGACCATAGTTTAATTAAACAAGAATGAATCTTCTTAATATAATTAAAAAGAAAACAACTCACAGCTAGCAGATTTTTGAATAATGATATCTTCTTCACATAATCCCTGCATTTTATACGTGCTAAACAAATACAGATAATAAAGATATTATATATATCCAAACAAAGTTCACTCTTAACAGTTTGAAAAAATTTGGGCGTTGGGTATATGAAATGCATTACAATAAAGGTTTTCATCAAAGTATTATTAAACCAGAATTTACAAAATATATAACAACTTAATCATCGTTCCTCAACATGGGGTC